CCCTTGTGAGGAGTAGTGACCTTTCTCCCCACCACTCCAATGCACAGGTCTACATGTAATACACTGGAGTGATAATGATACAATTATGTTCATTGCTCCGTGCCTTGCTGTGATGACATTTCTATTTATGGTTAAAAATATTTTTGGATATTGATTAAACATTTATTGATATTGTTTTATATTATATTTTGTACCAGGACATTTTACAACATGAAAACAATTTAATTGTAATAAACTATTATTTTCTGCATTCTCTTGGAGTTGTAACATTCTTTAGTCCACTGGGTCAGGAGGCCTTACTTACAGTTAAAGATTCTTTCATTTTAATGTACAACAATGTCGTCAGTATTCTTGGGTTCTTTGGAGTATATTATTTGAAATTTTCAAATTGTTTCTGTGTTTATTTTTTTTCTGCAATGAGTTTTTCTGAAAGAAATCGCCTAATTTTACTGAATTTAGTTTCTTATGCCTTGGAGTTTGTGGGGAATTGGAAAAGCCCCACTTGCTGCTTGCAGGAGTAGGAAAGTCTCTGAAGAATGGGTCAGTGATTCAAATAACTGAGTAACTGTGTATAAGTATTTCCTTAACATTAAAGAGAACTTTGCTGGTAACTCACGCACGCACACACATTAACTGGTACAGCTCCTACACAGTGCAGAGTGTGTAACCAAAGAGATTACGCTGGGAGGAGTTCTAGCATTCATTACCTAAGGGACATAACGCTAAAGGGACAACTCGGAAGATTTTATGCGTTACAAGCCCCTATCTCCTACACTCTCAGGCAGTCAATTTTACAAATGTCTCGTACGTACGTACATTACGTATGTATGTCATTGCTATATTATAATATATCGTATTGACATCAACAGATTCATACTCACAGGTGATGCAATGACATATTGGTCGGATATCAACTGGATACCGGATATCCAACTGAATGCCATGAGATCACTATTTTCAGTCATTTTAAGTCTAGTATCGTAGTGTTAGCAGTGATCAGAGTATTCACTCTATATCATTAATGAGCTGACAATCCCGAAAAGAACCATATAGGATCTCGGTAACTATTAAAATAACTGAAGCCAATACGACTTGATAAAGAATTTCTGTTTTCTGGCCATTGTTACATTTGACAAAACGAACACCATATCAGTATTGGGCGTATAACTATATCCTAACGGTACATGAACTTCAATAAGTTTGATAAGTTTCAATAGAAATGTAAATTAATAAAACGGGATAACTTTCCTTATATCCCTATTGAAGTTCAAACTTACTTATAAATAGATGGAGTAGTTAGATATGTAAAATGTATAATTTGTTTCAGTAATAATTAGAATTGCTTGTACTCTACATCTTTTACGTACTGTGGCGTTTGAAGTGGGGTGGGATTCTAACACAATTTGCAGATTGTTCAGTTTACCTATGATTATTACCCGTTGTTAGCATTGTTAAAGGCACGCCACCATTTCCTGGCTGTAATATATGAAGCACTGGATGTGTATGTTTTGGAATTCTTGATTTTTAATTGAATACTAACCATTTGTCTTAAAAGTAGGTGTAATATATTCATGTATACCTTTTTAAAAGCGACTCATGCAATTACATATCCGTTCAGGAGGCGACGTCGTGATTGGCCAGCCATTGCCATTTTGGCATTCACAGACTTCGGCCGCCCGTAAATTACCTAAAGTCATTCGCATGGAACGACATCCATGGCGCAGTCAACTGATGTGGCGCTGGGCACAATTGGATACTTTGTTTGGCGTTCCATGTCACTATGTCGCAATGATACGACGACTGTTATCTTCCACTGAACACTGAGAATGGGGTGTATCAATAGCCGCGTGGATTGACGCAAACGGTGGGAATATGGTTTCAGTAGTTGAATTCTCTCGGTTTAAAACTGTTCGAGTCCACAAAGAAAGCGACGGTCAGGGATAAGACTACTATTTTCTTGGCAGTCGACCACAGCGGGAAATTGTCTCAGAAACTGGAATAAAGAAGAAGAAGGTATATGCGCTCCCTGCATTACCAGTGATGGCGACCCCACTTCTCTCAGGCTGACGCCCCTTCGGCTACCAATCGGGAAGTCAGTGCACCAGAGTGAGGAGGAGGAGGTTGGGGTCATGGTGTACACAGTTCGGGAGAGCCAGATCATCATTAACCCAGACCACGTAGTGCGGCTGACGATGGATTCCACGTGTCGTCAAGGAAAGTTCCTGGTGCCAAAGTCACAGAAACAGGTCGGCACTGGGATCGTCAACAGGCGAAGTTGTTACGAGGACCTTTAAAGAAGAGGCAGGAGGGCGGGAAGAAGGGCAGGAAGGAGGCCAGAAGGCCGGGGAGAAAGAACGCTCAGGAGGGAAGGGGGACGGAGGTGAAGGAGTGGGCTCGTGATGCCGTCCAGGGTGTATGCGTTCAGGTCAGGCAGGGGAGGCACCAGTAGATCTGGGAAAATCACTCTCAAACAAAGCCCGACTAAAGATCACAACGAATGGTGATAATGTACACAATCTAAAAGATTTTTGACAACATTCTGTGATCCAGCCTGATGAGCTGAAAGCTGGGACCTCTTTCTGTGTAATGGAACCTAGCATGTTGAAATCTAGAGTGATTGTGAAGGACACAAAATGCTTTTCTCTTCTAGATGTAGATATTTCGCATTTATGTGAACTATATGAGGGAACTGGACCCCGTCTTTTCTGTGTAATGAGACACCATCTGTGGAAATCCTAGGTGATTGTGAAAGGACACAAAATACTATCTTCCTAGATGCTGAATGTTTCACCATTATGGCAGACTATGAGGAACTGGACCTCTTTCATGTGGAACTACCATTATTTGGAAGTCAGTGATTGTACGAAAGGACACAAAATACTATCTCTTCTAGATGTGATCTTTTTTTCCACCATTATATTGAACTATATGAGGAACTGGACCTCTTTCTGTGTAATGGAATTTCATGTTGTTGGAAATCTAGAGTGATTGTGAAAGGACAAAATACTATCTCTCTTCTAGATTGTGAATGTTTTACCATGTGAAGACTATAGCAGGGAACTGGACCTCTTTCTACTAATAATGGAACTACCACCATGTTGATTATCTGAGTGGTTGTAAAGGGACACAAAATATAATCTACTCCTGAACGGTAGAATATTTCACCAGTATGTGAACTATATGAGAATTGGACCTCTTCTGTGTGAAATGGGACTTCTGAAGTTGGAAATCTAGAGTGGTTGTAAAGGGACCTAAAGTATAATTTGCTCTAGATGTAGATATCTCTGCATTATGTGAACTTTTTAAGGAACTTGATGTATTATATGAGAACTTGACCCTCTTGAACAGTCTTGATGATCCCTCTATTTAGAGAGATGAATTTTACCTCTTGTGAAGCATGTATGTATGAAATGAAGATTAATTGATTAATTGTTTCCCAAGACGTTTTATATACAAACTGGCATGTAGCACTTTCATGATGACGATGTACACCAAGTGCTGCCTGCGATAGATTCTACCTACTCAAACAGATGGGGTAGGACACCACTTAAAATGCCACTTGGGTTTATCTGTTTTGGCCTAAGTGTGATATAAATATAATGGGTGGAGGGTCCCTTTAGGTAGAACCAGAGTATCATATATAGGATATGTAGTTCTCGTGGCACTCGTTTTCAACCTTGTTTAGGTCTGGTTTAGAACATATAACGAGATCAGTGAGCGTTGGAATCGTTACCAAATATAGAATTTACCTGGTTACATCAGAGACTTCTCTTGAAATGTTGCTTGAGATTATCAGTTTTGCCTCTTGATGATAAAAAATAGTTTGATTTATGCCAAGTATTATATTTATCATATGTTATATACACCAAATATTATGTTGTACCATGTGTTATATAAACCAAGTTATTATATTTGCACCATGTTATATATACCAAGTATTATATTTTTCCATATGTCGTTCTTGTTGAATCCTTACCAAATATACATTTTACCTAATAGCAACAATTTGGACCTTTGAAAAGAATGACAAAATATAAAATGTTATGTATGATAGCAATGCTTTATTTATGTGGTTTCTTTCGCTCTATTAACTTCCTGAAATGCAAATGTTATGTTGTATTGAAGAATTTTCTATGAAATACATGTGTACACATTTTATGTCCTAACAAAAATACTTTTCGAATGTTAAATATTTTACCGTAATAGATCTATATTGTACAAAATAAAAACAACGGACCATAATACCATTTGTTCCACGTGTTTCTTTGTAAAACAGTGCAGAGAAGATACAGATAGGTAGGTGTGGATTTTTATGCTGCACTCTGCAATGTTCCAGCTATATGGCAGATACCAGCAAATAATCGAGTCTGGACCAGACAATCCATTGATGACCAAGAGCATGAACATCCGATCTACACACCAGCTAGCTATATGATGACATGTGTCAACCAAGTCCAGCGAGCTTGACCACCCGATCCCGTTGGTCGCCTCTTACGACAAACATGGGTTACTGAAGATAAATTCTATAACCCTGATCTTCACGGTGGGAGAAGATACAGAAATTTGGACCATGGATATTTTTTGTATCATAGTGCAAAACATATATGTATTTGAAAATGAACATTTGTGCTTTCTCGGCGTCTTTAGTTCTAACAGCCTACTTGTCGCGACGTTGTGTGTGCGTGGCGTACGTCTCAAACTCGTTTATAGGTTAGTTAACCTTTCCTGGATAATCAGTACTTACATAGGAATTGAAAGCGAGCTTATCCCACACTGCACTGGATTAGTATCTCTCCTGGGTCCGGACAGCTAAGGTTTGGTTCTGTTATTGAATTTGACCGTTTACATTCGACTGTCACGTTGGCAGACATCTTCATTCAAGTTAGACCTTTCAGAACCTTGCCAGTTTGGACGTTTCTAGAGCGTGTATATTTTATGTATCTTCCTGTAATTCACATATCCGGATTATACGGCGCAACAGATTTCCGACCGCCGTGGATTTGACAGGTAAACAAAACCACGTGGTAGTAGTGAAGCGCTGGATATTAACAACGAAAGCGATTATGCTGTTTACGCATTCTTCAAAAAACGACGGCAGCTGATAAAGAAGAACGTTGCACATACCCAGGTGTGTGTCAATACATACACCTCAAGTCAAGTAATTCTCAAAACAACGAGTTACTGAGATTTGTGAAAGAGCTAAATAGTATTTCCTGTGTGTTTTAACCTGGCTCAGCATGGGGCGGTATTTCGCCAAAACTTGGATGGTTTAAGAAGAAGAGAAAATTCCAGGATCACTCATGCATGGTAGGTATAGTCATTTTGTTTTACTTTCTCGTAAGTTTGTTTTTATTTACGTTTGCTTCTATAGTTCCAATTAGTAAATGTCAAAGAGGTACATTAGTCACGAATCCTCGGTCAGACCAATACATATGTTGTTGCTTTTGTTTTGCCCACGACTACCCGGACGATATATCCCTCCAAATTCCCACACTGGGTTGCGACCCAACCTCTGCTGCGTCACGCGCAAGCGAATTTAGTATCCTTACACTGATCAACAAACATGAAGTACAGTTTCGTGCTTGGCAGGTACTACTAAATTTTGTGTAGCAAAAGTGAGTGACACCCCACCCTTTGCATGTCATATGTAAAACTTAGCCTCCCAGAAAAACGACCCCTCTTAAAATCATCATTCTCTTTCCTGCTTTATATTTGTTTGCACTTTGGAATTCAAAAAACTTATACACGATCTGTTTTCAGTGATTTTTTAAAAAATATTTGTAGGGTGTGTTTTATCAAATTAAGGATGATACGCTTTACAATTTTTCTTTCAGGGCTCGATGCTGCCGGGAAAACCACTATTGTACATGCTAAAACTCGGAGGGTTATTTGCCATTCCAACAATTGGTAGAAGAAATTATTGTCTTCCGGGGAGTTTACCAAATGCATAAATGTTTTGAATGGATCCATTAAAGGGCCACAGTTAAGAAATGCTCGAAATATTTTAAATTTTCAATGATATATATTTAATAATTCATCATCTTTTTGGGTTCCATTATCCCATTGACCGCCTCCGTGGTGTAATTGATTCCAGAGCGTCTGCCGGAGAAACGAAGGTTGCGGGTTCGATCCCCGACCGCGTCATACCAAAGGACGTTAAAATATGGTACTTGTTGGTCCCTACCTGGTGCTCGGCATTAATGGGTACAACAATAAAGGACTGTCAGCTCAGGTCAGTATAATGATATGTGTCTGAATATTTGGTAGAATTCAATATGGTTCACTGCGGCATATGTATCTCAATTGGAGCTAACACTAATAAAACCAGCGTAAGTCTGGGCTAGGTACAAAGCAACCCGCACGCACACATACACATGCACGTCGTCCTATGAGCGAGAATATTCTCAGCACGACGTTAAGCCCAATTTCACCTCACCACACCTCATTATCCCATCAGGTATGAATATGTCTGTATTAATTGTTTGTTATACTGAACAACAATAGAAACGCACCACATAAGGTACTGCGCCGATTGCTCAGATATCATGGTACATTTCAGTCTGACGGGGATATTTCGTATTATATGGGTGGTGCGTTTCTAATGTTGTTCAGTATATTTGTATAATATCACTAAAACAAACAGGTATCCTTTAATGAAACTTTACACATATTCGGAAATATTCCTATGAAGGATAGATCAGCCATGCAGGGCCTGCTGTAACAGTCAGATGATTTGTTGTTCCATGTATGATGGAAACAGGGCGATTTGCCATCTTCAGGTCACCCTTTACACTGGCAACCCGTAACTGTAAACTTCCTATCCTCATTCACTGCAATACATAGCTCATCGAAAGAGTTTTGGGTTTGTCCCTCCAAAAAGATTGAATACAGATTTTGTTTTGTAACTTCAGGTTTCAATGTGGAGACAGTTAGATACAAGAACGTCAACATAACAGCCTGGGATGTAGGTGGAAGGGGTAAAATCGTAAGTTTGGGATACTCCTTTGTCGTGTTTGTTTATTTAACACCGCACTCCGCAGTATTCCAGCTATATGACAGCGGTATGTAAATAATCGAGTCTGGACCAGACAATCCCCAGTGACTGATATCATGAACATCAATCTTCGTAATGACATGACATATGTAATGGGTCGAGTGACCCTTGCCGCGATCCCGTTTGTTGTCCATTACAGTAAGCATGAGTTGGTGAAGACCGATTCTAACCAAGTGTCTGAGGGTGTGGTTTGGTGCAATCGATTGAAATAAATAATGCACAGATCACACGATACGCGTGTTTTGGAAGTATGCATTTATAGCTCACCCATATTCATGATACTCAGGGGGCGGTGGGAGTATGCCGGTGCTTAAGGCGGTTGATCATCTCGCTACGAAGACCGGTTCGATTCCCAAAGGTTGCAATGTGCAGAAATCAGTGAAACACGTAATGTACCCACACAGGTTTGTTACCTAATGCCTTACAAAGAGTGGTTGTTATATGTTTGCACGATATCCTAATAGCGACCAAATATGCTTATGTCATCGTCGTCACTCCATTTCAACCTTTATAAACAATCCTGACCAAACATGGAATTCAATGATGAAATGTCTTTTTGTCGAATTTAGCGTCCCTCTGTATCGCCACTACTGCCCAAACACCGACGCCGTACTCTTTACATTGGTTGACAGCGACGACGAAGGGGAACGTATTGAGGGAATCCAAAGATGAGCTGGGACGCTTGGTTGAGGGGCAGGGGACCTCCAGGGACGCTGTCTTCCTCGTCCTCGCCAACAAAGCAGGACTATCTCGGGTGCAGTGACAGTACCAGGGTTTTGCCCCGAGCAGTGGGATTTCCCGAGGATACTGAGAAAACACATAGTAAGATGAGGAATATATAATTGGTATATCATTAGATGCACCATAAAGAATGCGTTAAGTGAAACTTCTTATACATGTTTGAACTCAGATACCGCCATGAAATGCTAAATGCAATGATCAGTTTTTGTTCATAGTGTATAATTTCGTATTTGGATGAGCTTTGTGAGTCCTCTTTCTTACAGTATATCTTGTTTAAAAAATATGACAGACAAGGAATTAATAAGTATTTGTGAAAGAGAATGAATTCTAAAATATCTATAGACTGAATTTGGAGAAAATACATTAAGACATGTATTATTCCATGTATTGGTTTAATGTATATGCACAGTTCGCCTTTGACACTTTGAGGGGCGTTGGGTAGCCTAGTGGTTAAGACCCGGGTTCGATTCCCCACATGAGTACAATGCGTGAAGCTTATTTCTTGTGTTCCCCATCATCATATGGGCTGGAATATTGCTAAGGCGACATCACACCATACTCACTCACTCACTCACTTTGACAATATGAACATTATCTGTTGACTACATATCCAGGTGAGCTACAGTATGACGTCATTGTTTAGCTATAATGAGAGAAACTCATTCAAATGTCTTATTTCAGAAGCGACAGTCATGGCGTGCAGTGCTATCTCTGGTGAGGGTCTTTATGACGCCCTGCACTGGATGTCACAGGCACTTGTCCACGGGAGGTCACTGAAACGCCCGGATGCTAACCCTAGTGACCCGGAAACAGATGGGTCTTCGGGGAAGAAGACAGAAAAGTCTCCCTGGTCTCTGTCCACCTACATGAAAGGACCACTGGAGTCCCTGAAAGCGTTCATACCGAAGCTGGGTTGAACTCCAGCTTGTATGATAATGGGCACAATAGCTTACTGTGATAACAGGTCGTGGTTTATTTCCAAATACGACTGCTGGGAACCCAGAACTGAGCTCGTCTCAACTGAACGGAACCAATGCAGCACCGACCACAATGTATATGTATATTACTGACTGAGTATAACATGGCACTTGTCATTCGATTTTAGCATGAGCTGTTCATCCTCCAGATTACTATATGAGATTCACCCCAAGAAGTGTCCACTGGTTAATAAAGAATAGAAAACTGTTTTGCCTCAGAAATGATTTCCATACTTAAGTGAGTCTAGACAGATTTAAGCTTGCATGGGAGCTTAACAAGATATTCTTGTTTAGTTCATGACGTATCTGTTTTTTTCATCACGTACACTGCAATCATCATTTATGGTTGTATTTGATTATATGCGCATTTTAAAATTGTTCTTGTTATATGAAACGGTATATTGACCGATGTACCGACATATTGCATCACTGTGTAAATTACACATAAAAGGAATCATTTGTTTCACAAATTCATTGGATTAAATATCGTTGCCTGAAAGCAGTTCTTGGTCACCAAAGTGGATAATGTCCCTTAAAGGCCTTGTGAATGTGGAGTTCGGACCAGCAACCAGCAGTTTTTACAAAGATGGAACGCAAGTTTCAGCCATGTACAGTTAGGTGCATCTAGCAAAGAAGTTAACTAATGCCGCTACACATGACTGCTATATTTCCAACTCAGCGAAAAATATTAAATCCCGCGTGCCAACCAATACCTTAGGGAGAATCGGAACAATTACGTGCATCACATGGATATAATGGATCGCAATGCAGTTCCGTCCCTTTGTTGTGTCAGGATCAACTCAGGTTTGGTTCAAATGCATCACTCCTATTTGTCATGGATAAACGGGAAAGAGCCCAGCGTGCGTCACTAAAGCTGAATATGGTTTTACGCCGCTTTTAGCAATATTTCAGCAATATCACGGCGGGGGACACCAGAAATGGGCTTCACTAATTGTATCCATGTGGGGGCGGTGGGGTAGCCTAGTGGTTAAAGCGTTGGCTCGTCACGCCGAGGATCCGGTTCGATTCCCCACATGGGCACAATGTGTTAAGCCCATTTCTGATGTCCCCGCCGTGATGGTTGGACATTTGCTGCGGCGTAAAACTAAACTCAGTCAGTCAGTATCCATGTGGGGAATTGAACCTGGATCTTCGGCGTGACGAGAGAACGCTTTAACCACTGAGCTACACCACCGCCCCTGATATGTGATGTCACAACCACATACTGTTCAGAGCAGCTGTAAACCCAATTCTCTCACAGATACGTACGTAGCCAGGTCGCTCGATGAGGTTCTACGTCCCTTAGACATGCCAGAACCAGGTGAAGATACAACAGATTATACAATCTGCCAATTTGTTGTATCAGAGACCATATAATTCATTAATAATTTATTATATGGTATTTAGTTGTATGTGAGATGTAATGTATGAAAGCGAACATTGAATTTTCTTTTCACGACACCTTCGCTCAACAAACAATTTTGCGTTGTTGGTAAGCTCGAGGAAGCTCACAGCTGTTTCAGGTTTGGAAACATAATATGCCAACATTTCATCCGACCGCAAATACTGTATTCCCCTATATTTATAGACAGACCCAGCTGTATGGGAAGAACGATACCTGAAATATATATCCATTTACGAAGACGAAAAGTTGAATAAATAAAACTCAGTCGTTATGATATCGTCCAAACATACTGGTAATATGAGCATTCTGCTTGACTTAAAGTATTTCAAGCGCATTGCCAGGGATATTTTACGTGCGCTTGCATGATTCTCCCTGTTGTACACCGTGACGTACTTCCGGCCATCGTGGATTTGCCAGGTAAACAAACATACGAGATGGGGGCGGTATATGTAACAGTCGTTATTGACGATGATTGTGTCATTCGCTCAGTGACAGCTGACAACATAACTTTGTTTCCGTGTAATTCTCTGAACAGTGCCCATTAACATGGGTCAGTACGTGAGTAGATCGTCACACAGATGGTTTAAGAAGATGGAAGTGAAGCTGATTATGCATGGTAGGTGTATGGTTGTCTGTTAACAGTCCGTTTCATACTTATCGTGCCGTCCTTATCTTTTTCTTTGGAACTTTACAGATTTTACCGGTCTTCAGATTATACCCTTTAATAATGCTCTTGATCATATTTATGTCATGTGTATGTCCAAATCAGAAAGTTATAAAAGTATATATGTAACTAACTAACACTACTCTCTTTCAAATGTAGGCAGTTGTCACATATTTTGTATTCACTATTTTAACATGATTGTGACTATCCACTGCTGTTTCATACCGAACACGCGTTATAACGAGGCAGGATGCTCATATACTCGGATTTCAGTTCATGTGTAAGATAAAGTTGCCTGTATTAAGTTACTCACATGATTTGTAATTGTTCATTTGATAATCGAACCAACAACGGATTTCCTTAAGCATCCGAAAACCCGTAACAAGATGGTACTTATCGAATACCAACACATATGTCGCTGAGTGACACAGTAATATTAGGTTCCGTCATGTTTCTGTGCAGGCCTTGACGCTGCTGGGAAAACAACTATACTGTACAAGCTGAAACTTGGAGAGGTGGTTGACACTAACCCAACGATAGGTGAGTATCACTGCTGAGGGGTGGTGTAATACAGTGTTAGGACTCGAACCTGAAACACCCGTGAAGATCCGGGGTAGAACAGGTCTTCAGCAACCCATGCTTGCCACAAAAGGCGACTATGCTTGTCGTAGGAGGCGACTAACGGGATCGGGTGGTCAGGCTTGCTGACTTGGTTGACACATGTCATCGGTTCCCAATTGCGTAGATCGATGCTCATGCTGATGATCACTGGATTGTCTGGTCCAGATTCGATTATTTACAGACCTCCTCCATATAGCTGGAATATTGCTGAGTGCGGCGTAAAACTAAACTCACTCGAACCTGAAACAAGGCAGGTTGCCTCGTCATGATGACCGATCAAAAAGCTGGTTAAAATGTCATCAATGTGATGACCTGCTGGTGTTCAGTTAATACGAGTATCCTCTTTCACAGATTTAATGTGGCTTAAACCAGTTGGTTTTCTATATGAATCTCAAGACTGTAGATATATAGTCAAGGCTGACGGACCCGTTAAGGTCCGGGTATGAATACTCGATCTTCAATAACCATGCTTGTCGCAAGAGGCGAATAACGGGATCGGGTGGTCAGGCTCGCTGACTTTGTTGACACATGTCATCGGTTCCCCAATTGCGTAGATCGATGCTCATGCTGTTGATCACTGGATTGTCTGGTCCAGACTCGGTTATTTACAGACCTCCATATATATAAGCTGGAATATTGCAGAGTGCGGCGTAAACTCAAAGCTCACTCACTCACTCACTCCTCAAGGGCTGACGGCCTGCTGGTTACAATATGTTTCAACTATTTCAGGTTTTGTTCAAGAGACGGTGTCCTATAAAACATACGCATTATAGCCTGGGATGTTGGCGGAAGGTCGGCCGTAGTAAGTACATACTCCCAACATTTACCATAGCTACTGCTGTAGTAACTTGTAGAAACACTATCTTCACGCCATCAGTGCCAGCTATGGACCATCCATTTGATATTCAGGGCAAAGCCTTAATTATAATAATTTGTATATTTCTAGCAGAGAATTTTATTTTTTCAACAGTCTGAAACTTGATTATTTTAAAGGATTTTGAGATTAAACGTCCCTGAAAGTCAGTTGGTCAGTCCCTTTGGGATAAAGAGGGATTGCATGAACGCATGCACACTTATACAGACACACAGAGCCAATGGCACTCACTTGATAAGCCAAGGGGGCCAAATAGCCAAAACAATATACTAGTATATGAAGATAACAAGATATGTAACATATTAGTCATTGAAAACAATCCCTGTGTTCACCAGCGCCCTCTATATCGGTACTACTACCACGGCACCGACGCCGTACTCTTCGTTGTTGACAGCAACGACAGGGAACGTATTGAGGAAGTCAAAGACGAGCTGGGACGCTTGCTCGACGAGAAGGAATTTAAGGACGCTGTCTTCCTCGTTCTCGCCAACAAGCAGGATCTACCCCACGCCATGACAGTGCCAGAAGTTGCCGAGGCAGTAAACTTCGACAATGTACGGAAAATGCACAGTAAGTTGAAACATAAAGGCTCTCTCGCGCCCATACATATCTTCGTCACGCCGAAGACCCGGATTCGATTCTCCACATGGGTACAACGTGTGAAGCCCATTTCTGGTGTCCCCCGCCGTGATGTTGCTGGAATATTGCTAAAAGCGGCGTAAAACCAAACTCGCTCGCCATACATATCTTACTGTCACTTCTGAGCAGTGTCCACCGGAAATCTAAAATTAAAATTACACCATGTTAGTCAGACTAGCAAACATATGGGATCCAGGTTAGAATTGGTCTTCAGCAACCCATGCTTGTCGAAAGAGGCGACTAACGGGATCGGGTGATCAGACTCACTGATTTGGTTGACACATCATCGTGTCCCAATTGCGTAGATCGATGCTAATGATGTCAATGTCTGATCCAAACTCGATTATTTACAGACCGCTGTATCATAGCTGGAATATTAGTGAGTCCGACGTTAAACAACAACAAACTAGCAAACAAAAGATAATCTTGTGAAGAACATCGAATTACTTGTTTCAGGGAGCCAACATTATGGGATGTTGTGCCAGCGTAGGGATGGACTGAATGAAGCTATGGACTGGTTGTCTCGTGAACTTGAGACGTCACGGAAAAGCCGGGAAGTTGACCCTAGTGACAAGGGAAAGAGGTGACGCGGTGGAACAGAGAAGACTGAAAAGACTCCCTGGTCAACGTCCACTTACGTGAAAGGAAATCTGGAGCACTTCAAAGCATTACTACCGAAACTGGGTTGAACAAAGACTTGTAGGATAATGAGCACAGTAGTCTGTGCAGACCTTCGAGACCAATTTCAGTTCTGGGCACAGAGGGCTTGAATGAATGAGTCCATTTTCGTTGGTTCGAAACCATTAGTTATAGGTTCCTGGTTAGCAATTCTTCATTTTGACAACTGATAGTGCATTGAAGTCTTCCTTGACAATAGGGTAATTATGTGAGGGGATTAGAAGACAACACACATCAAAATGTACCTTGACTTCGTTTCTTTTAATCCGGGCGTTTTCAGTCCCCTGGGAACTTCAAAATGTATGTAATTGCTATCGTAATAAAATAGATGGCTACTTTCTAAAATATCTGAAATATTTTGCCGTTTTGTTAATTGTAGAATGTGGAATTTCAGTCATTACATTATCTGAATCTTATACACGATTTGAATGATTAACAGATGAATTCATTAGTTTATGTTGCAAGTGAAAATAGTGTAAACAATGGCAAGTACCAAACAAGTGACTCATCTTCGTCCATTACTGATGCGACACCCAAAGATATCTACCGAACGCTGTTCATTTCCAAGACGAAGCTGTATTCCGTCTTACGCGCATAATGTTAAGAACATTCGTAACTATATTGTAAGCCATTAAAACGCAATTGGTATTTGTTGTCCTGAAACTCACAAAGTTCTATTGAAGATTTTTTGCCTGCGATACTGAGGGATGTAGGGATAAAGGCTGTTATTCTGGCCCATTTCGAGTTCGAGTCCCAGAGCATTCCTCTCACATGAACTTTGATATACTTAAACTGAACCTTTGACATTTCTCGTAATATATTTACCGTTTGCAAAACAGAATCCCTTTGAGACAAGACGCATAACTTTGGTTTGGTGTATGTGATTAGCTCAAGCCCACGGTTGTACACTGTCAGCCCACGACAGATGTGGCAACCTACCCTTAAAAAAGTTTAGCGATGAGCTAAGAGTTCTAGGACGGACAAACCAGTGGATCTCTCATATAGACACGATTACCTCCTTTGACTAGAAACGCAACCAGTCCCGACTACTGCACGGTTCTTTGCAAAAGTTATCACTGCACGGATTGTGATTGTAACGAAGGTGAAAAGTTTTCAGATTTGAAACGGATGTGGTACTCACACTCCGGCGCAGTGCTGACTTAGCATATCCTGTTATTGCAAAAAACAGTAGAACATGAAATATACTTTATCCAACTTTGATTAAAGCGAGTATTTAAATGCTCATTGACACAAAAGCATCACTGCTGAAGAAGCTTTGCACTACGCGTTTGTTTATAGCATAATCTATGCATTTGGCTTTAAACGTGCACTACATGAGATGCTGAAGCGTATGTCGTGCAAAAAGTATACGGCACTTGACGTAATTTCCATACACTTACAGGTTAATTTAGTGTAGCATGAATAATTTTCATGATGTGAGTTTGGGATGGATCTTTGTAAAATACTGACAGGCAAATTTCAAATCATCTCTGCTCTGCGCACATAATTTCAGTTTAATTTTCCGACCACTATTTAACTAATGACATCACATTTATCAACTTACGTATGGTTCCACAATGCACACTCCCATGGGCCGCCATGTTAAAGGAGTTCACGGCACTGTACATATGTTAATTAAATTGTTGCCATTCGATAAATTGGCAACGGAAAATTAAACATAAATTATGTGATTGTAGGTAAGATGATTCCTCAAAAATTTGCAAAAATATTACTTGGATCTTACAAAAATTAAATTCATGAAAATTATTTATGCTACACTAAATTAACCTGTAAGTCTATGGAAATTACGTCAAGTGCAGAATACCTTTTGCACGACTGTGTATATATGACATTTTAACTCTTATAGCGACTATGAATTGCGGTGTCAGTGAAAATACGAAGACCTATCTATCTGCTGCTAAATTCTTCCTAAAAATATATTGATAATAGGACATTTACACAGCTAAATGAACTACATGATTATAAACTGAAAGATTAAAACATTTACGGACATTCTTCATAAATCCTATTAATCCTAAGCGTCACGCAAATATCCGTGGATGTTTTACCTGCGCTTGTATTATTAAGTTGTACGGATTTTAGCCTGGTTCTCTGGGAATGCTGCTCTTGCTCAGTGATCCAAGCCGCCTGGACTATTGACCGTTATGTACTTCCGACTGCCGTCGATTTGATAGGTAAACAAAGACAGAGATTAGTGCGGTATAACAGTCGTTCCTGACGATCATTCGATCATAAAACTTTGTGTATCGGTAAAACCATATTCCGGAGTGTTCACTGCACGATATCAGCCTGTAAGGTTATAGTGGATAATGCATCACGTTTGCCTTAGATAGCGTACTTTGACCGTGTCCACATCAATATCCGATATCAGTAACAGTCCACGGGAATTACCGTAACGTACGCCCGGCCAACGTGTTATTGACAGAGTTAGAAATCCACGGTGTGGGCTCGATGTATATATACTTATACACACCAGTCGTCTCGGCTGTATTTCAAGTAGTACTGAAGAGGACGGGCAGAATATAAGAACGTATACGGTGTACTGAGCTTAGAGCTGACACAGGCAACAATCGATAAACAAAATGGGACAATATATTAGTATGCTGCCATGGCTAAGGAAGGAAGTGAAAGTTCTCATGCATGGTATGTACATAGTACTTTTACGTTAAAGGTAGTCATCGAGTCATAGTAAAAGACTGCATGACCAAAAGAAGCACGTGGACTAAACACGTCACACATTTACCTCCTAATTATGGCTCAGAAAACTCACGTAGTTAGAGTCTATGTATTTTACAGAATGTGCTGATTTACTGATACCATATAAGCGTTCCTTTTTACAAGGGGACAAATGTAGGCTGGTATATTTTTGGCATGTTCACAGTTTCACGCATTTTTTAAAACTGACATTTATAATGAGCTGTTGAAGAAACCTGCGCAAAGGATCATTTTTTGTTTTGTTTTTGGAGTGAGTGAGTGAGTTGCCGCTTCAGTGGAATCATTATTGCTGTGTCTCAGTGAGTGAGTTTAGACTTACGCCGCTTTTAGCAATATTCCAGCAATATCACAACGGGGGACACCAGTAATGGGCTTCACACATTGTACCCATGTGGGGAATCGAACCCGGGTCTTCTGCGTGACGAGCGAACACGTTAACCACTAGGCTTCCCCACCGCTCCTTGTTTTTTAGAAATGTATGTCTTAAAATTCTTCAACAAACAACATTCCATGTATACATGCATAAGCATGGTACGTCTGTTGCTTTTTGGTAGCAGGGTGTGACGTTTCGAAACAGTGACATTAAATCATGTACGATTAACCTTATTAGGCCAGTCCTTTTGACCAGGCAGTGTCAATAAATCCTCATTATTCATAACTATTGAAATGACCTTTCATATTAAAACAAAATCACCGAACTGATAGTTGTTGTTATTGTTGTTGTTGCCACTGTTTCAATCAGAAATATCCCTGCTATTCCTGTGGCTGGACCAGACAATCCAGTATTTGACACCATGAGCATCCATGCATCAATCTAATCATTTAGCCTAAACAGGTGATCCCGTTAGTTGCCACTTATGACAAGCCTGGGTTAGTGAAAACCAATTCTCACCTTGATCTTCACAGCCTGAAATTATTAAAAGAACCAAACGTTTATAAAGAGTTATTGTTGTCTTCGTTTCAACCACTTATATTTAGGCAAAAACCTGACACCAGACCCCGTGAAAGAAGCCAGTATGCATAAATATGTATGCCTTTTAGATGGTAAGGTGAACATGTCCTATCCAATAATATGTCCTTATATTTTCCAGGGCTTGATAATGCAGGAAAAACGTCACTGTTACACCGAATAACGTCAGAAGGCCTTCAGCCAACACGACATACCCTCTGTGAGTAGGTTCTTACGATAAAATGTATTTAGCATGATAACTTATATATCTGCGTAACTTGCCCATGAGGGGTATTTAGAAGTGATGTAACGCAAGTGTGCTTGTAAGCCAGTCACTACACCTTTTCAGCATATTTACGACCAGCGCCGTTGTTTTGGGATAATAATCCCATAGAATCAGGCGTGTACTTTCTTTTTGTGCATCAGCTAATAGTGTTTTCGTACTATGTTTTAGGTGAATCCAAATGGACACTACTCTACAAGAACATCAACGTGACCCTGATTGACTTTGAGCAAAGACGTCGTGTGGTCAGTTATACCAAAGGGTGTATACCAAATTTTGGTAGATCAGAATTAAACTTTGGATGTTATAATATCACATATTCACAATTTATGATTTATTTCAATCTATCGGTTTTCTTATACAACAAGGATCGTGTGACTTTCTAACTAATTATTGCCAATGGTCAAGCGCATGTAAAGTCGATAAGGATTAAACTAAGTTCTATGACATGCATCTCAGTTGACGATGTTAATAACGTAACATGCAAACTTTGAAAGCGGGCAGTGCGTGTTGGTGGGTGCGTGCATGTATGCATATTTGTTGACAAAAATCACATTTTTGTTGTAACTGGCGTGGTGTAATGTCTTAGGTCTTTATCGCCTTGGGCACACGCCACGTTAACACATGGATAAAATAATATTAATAACGGCCTACACCCAAGTAATTCCCTCACCCACAGTGTTACCCTGCTACGTGACAGGCGTGACGGGCGGTGGGGTAGCCTTGTGGTGTAAGCGTTACCCCGAAGACCACGGTTCGATTCCCTACAATGTACAATGTGTTATGCCCATTTCGGATGTCCCCCCGTCGTGATACTGCTGGAATATTGCTAAAGGCGGCGTAAAACTAAACTCACGCGTAATAGTCACCTAACAGGTGGTCAGACTCGCCGACTTGGTTGACACATCCCAATTGCATAGATTGATGCTCATGACATTGATCACTGGATTGTCGAGCATTGCCACGTTGGTTCACACTTTTGACCTGTTGTTTTCCCCAGTTCCAGTATAGACGCCGGTTCTACTACACACACCCAGATGTCGTCCTGTTCATGGTGGACAGCGACGACCGGGCACGCATACAGGAGGCTCAGGAGGAGCTGAGGCTTACCGCAAATTATGAAGACCACAAGGACATTCCTTTCCTCGTCCTTGCCAACAAACAGGATCGACGGGACGCCATGACAGTAACAGAGGTTGCCGAGGCACTGGACTTCCAGAACATACTCAAGACACACCGTAAGTTTCAGGAAGGAATTATCGCCTATATATGTCGAAATGAGATGAAGGTTGAGATAAAGCTCAAATTGCTACTTGTTTATTCAAGCTCTATCTCATCAGTCTTTAATGTGCGGAACCATCTGATTAAAATACCAACAGTTAATGATTCAATTGTTTACATTCGTTTTAAAGTCCAGAAATATATTGTTCAAGGTCATAAATAATGGTGTTCCTCTGCGGTTACGCGGTCATAATATATACTATCGACAAAAAATAAGGGAACTAAGAAACTGAATGTAGCAAACGTAGAGGTGAAAGGGTGCGTTACCGTAGCGTTGCACCCAAACGCAACATCCAATGACAATGAAATTCCACATGAAGCATTACCAACACGTGATGCACGTGCACACACAAGTCAACCTCTGTCAACGTATTGGAGAACTCACAATCACTAATGCAAGAGAGTTGAACACATGCTGAAAAATGCCTCCGAGGCAGCATCTCAATGAACAAACAAAATGGAGAATTGTGGGGATGATAGAAGGGGTGACATCATTGTGTCAAGTTGCCCGAATGTTGGGTAAATCAAAAAGTGTAATTTCTCGCCTGTGGGCAATGAGACCTGGGCGTGGCAGACCAAAATCAACGACACCACGACAGGATCGTCTCATTACATTAATGGCCCTACGCAATAGGTTCAAATCAGCACCTGCCATCAATAGGGAATTCCGTACACTCACTGGGCGACAAATGTCACACTCAACCGTTACAAACCGGCTCAATCAAGCACGTCTGAAAGCAAGGCGGCCTTTCAGGGCGCCAAAGATAGGCATGGGCTAGGCAGCATCAGGGACGGGCTTTGCGCCATCGGCGTTACACCATGTTCTCAGATGAGTCAAGGTTTTGCCTCAGATTCACAGATGGCAGAAAACGTTGTTGGCGCCGTAGCGGTGAGCGGTATGCCAGAGCGGCAATTATTGATCATGATCGATATGGGGGTGATAGTGTCATGGTGTGGGTCGGGGTTACACATGACAGGAGATCAGATCTGGTCATCGTTAATGGATCCTTTACTGGTCAGCGATACGTTGACGAAATTTTGCGTCCTGTCGTGACTCCACTGGCTAGGATCATCGGCAGGAATTCTGAATTCCAAGATGATAATGCCAGACCACATCGGGCCCAAATTGTCACAGCTTATCCTCCGACGAGAGGGCATACAGACATTGGACTGGTCCTCTCAGTCCCCAGACCTGTCCCCAATTGACCATCTATGGGACATTCTCGGTCGAAGGGTGTACGCCAGGGACCCCGCACGCGTCAACCTGGTCCAGCTTGATGCAGCTCTTCAGGAGGAATGGCGGGCAATACCATGGGCAGCCATCCGGGAAATTAATCAACAGTATGCCATCAAGGTGTCGTGAATGTGTTATCCAACATGGTTGATACACCAGATATTGAACTTTACGCCCACATTTGATTTAGTGGACATTCAGAGCAATTTCACATTCACTATCATTTCATCTGTCCCCTTATTTTTTGTCGGTAGTATATTATAACAGAATAGCTGTTACAGTTTATAACGTATTAGAGAAGCAATACCAAGACATTCTTGTAAAATGTTCATGTTTCTACTAGGAAGAATTAGGGCCTTGGACTTTACTTTGTTTCCAACAATTATATATGCCCTAGTTACTGATTGTTGTGCCTCAGGAAGGTACTTGACAATCTTATTGAAATAAGATCTTAATTCTCGCCTCCAGTGACAAAAAATCAGAGGACAGTTCATCATGAGTCTGGTCAAAACTTTCATCTCTCACTACTTCGGATAAACATTTTGAAAGGAAGAGAATTTTGAGAACATGTGGGTAAAACTGGCATACAGTTTTAGCCTATCATTACATGTCTCGGTTAACTTGTATCGACTTCTTGTTAGTCAATTGATGTGTTTTCAAAGCTAGTGAACGGTTCTGACGTCGTCTGTAATGTCCCAAGATCTTAGCTTAGCGGTAGCGAGAATTAAAATCTGCTTTGAATGAGATCGTTTCGAAGTGAATGAACTTACATGTATGCTTCCAGGGGCCAACATTATAGGCTGCAGTGTTGTCTCCAGGCAGGGCCTTAAGGACGCCATGGATTGGCTGATCCAGGACTTCCGGAGTCCGTGTGAAGGCTCGAATACTTCCCCACACAACAAAGAGACCGACGCAGTCACAGTCAGGAAACGGGGAGCTTGGTCCATCTTTACCTACATGGCAGGAATATTTGGATATTTTAAAAATTCCTCCCAAAATTTGAATGAATTTAAATGATCTGAAGACCCATACGCAAATGAAAATATTGATTTGACTGTTTGTCCATTGTGTCATCCCCACAATTCCTTTTCGTATTCGCCTTAATCAATCTGTTGGATCCGAATCCCCAGTGACAGCAAGGTGTTCGTGTGATGCACCAAACATGTATGTACTACATGTAATGGGATCTTTCTTGTTTAATGACCTATATCAAGATCAAAGGGTCTATAGTAAAGATTTGGTTCGGGAAACACAGTGTATGTGTATGAAGAAAGTATTTCACACTTCACTTGAATGATCCCATACTATGACTTGCATCAGCTGGACAGTGCCTCTGTAACTAACCAGGAGACTTGTCAGATTATCCAGACTATATCCGTGACAACCTGGCCACATAATCCAGTGGGAGGAGGATGAGTGAGTGAGTGAATTTAGTTTTACACCGCACTCGGCAATAGTCCAGCTATATGTAACAGTTTGTAAATAATCGAGTCTGTACCAGACAATCTAGTGATGACATCATGGGCATCGATCTACGCAATTGGGATGGGATACAATGGCATGTGTCAACCAAATCAGCGAACCTGACCAACCAACCATTCCTATTAGTTGTACGTGTTGCTGAGGGTGCCATGTGTCGCCCTTCACGTGTGGTGAAATGATTCCTATATAATATATATTCGCATGTTGACATTATGTGCTGGAATTTGACCCTCTATATTATTTGATTGCATGATAAACTGTATGATATTTGATCTCATGTTGACACTGTAAATTATTCGATTGCATAGTGACACTGTAAATTATTTGATTGCATAGTGACGCTGTAAATTATTTGATTGCATAGTGACACTGTAAAATTATTTGATTGCATAGTGACACTGTGACATTGATTGCAAAGTGACACTGTAAACTTGCATAGTGACACTGTAAATTATTTGATTGCATAGTGACACTGTAAATTATTTGATTGCATAGTGACACTGTAAATTATTTGATTGCAGTGACACTGTAAATTATATGATTGCATAGTGACACTGTAAATTATTTGATTGCATAGTGACACTGTAAATTATTTGATTGCATAGTGACACTGTAAATTATTCAATTGCATAGTGACACAGTGTGTCAAATTATTCACAGTTGCAATTAGTTGACACACTGTAAATTATTTGATTGCATAGTGACACTGTAAATTATTTGAATTGACACTAAATTATTTGATGACACTGACACTGTAAATTATTTGATTGCATAGTGACACTGTAAATTATGTAGCTGAATGTTCATACTGTGCATAACATGATCCAAAGTTGACAATGTACATATCTCATCTATTGAGATGTGTTACATGTTTTAACTTTGTCTCGGTTGAATTGCGTTTCACAATGTGAATTAAAGCAAATTTGTGGATTTCTGTTTTTCGAGCAATATTATCTCTGTGTGTGCGCGTGCGTGTGTCTGTGTGCGCGTGCGTGCGTGTGTGTGTGTGTGTGTGTAAAATATTTTTAAATATCCAACGCATTGACAACCGTGATCCCGGTTATGGTTGTCATCGGTGAGTGAGTTTAGTTTTACGCCGCTTTTAGCAATATTCCAGCTATATCACGGCGGAGGACACCAGAAATGGACTTAACACATTGTGCCCATGTGGGGAATCGAACCCGGGTTTTCGGCGTGACGAGCGAACGCCTTAACAACTAGGCTACCCCACCGCCCCGGTTGTCATCAGTACACCAGCAGAGAGTACTCACAGGTTGGACTTCACGTATTGTATGAAAACTCTTTAATCAACCGCCTGACTTTGTGTCGATGAGGTGCTTCGCTTTGAGAGTGTGGGTTCGAATCCCGCATGGCACTCAACCCAAAAGAAACGTTCTTGAATGTGTATTTGACTGACGAAATGTAATCCCAAATATAACATGCCTTATATTTATTGAATATTAAGTAATTTTATTCAGGACATTTTAGTTATATTTACTATAACTTGATATATATGTTTCGCTCCTATTTCATATTGGAAGAGATATGATGTCAGTCTCCGAAGCTGAATAAGGGGGAAAAACTTGGAGCAAATCAGAAAAAAAGATTTGTTTATACAGTTACCTTATTTAAAAAAATAACAGTTGTTTTGCGTGAAAGTAGAAAACAACCATGGTTTTGTTAGTATATTCACGGTTTAAAAACACTTTTCCAAGGAGGAGACTTACAAAATATGTGTTTGAAGTCACGTGACAGGACTGACAAGAGAATACTCTTCGTCACGTGACGGAACGAGTAAATTAGGGGAGCCCTGGCCACCAAGTCAAGAACTGATAATTTATCATGACAGCTCCCTTCAACATGTCATACTTCAACATGCCATAGGCTTCGACACTTGTATTTCTAAAACTATAAAACACCCATGGCGGTAGAGAAGAAAGGGTTTATAAATGTCATCTGATAATAGGATTATACTGTACAAATATCGAAATATTTTGTTGTAGTAGTAGTAGTAGTAGTAGTCGTAGTAGTAGTAGTAGTAGTAGTAGGGTATTTATATAGCGCTAATTCCACAACACATGGCCATGCTCAAAGCGCTTCCTGAGCATACTAAAACTATACTTCCCATCAATAGTTTAGACTCACTTAAAACACTCACTATATGTTATGTGTATATATATATATATATATATATATATATATATATATATATATATGGTTACCATCGAAGATTGATTTCTCCACTAACTTTGGGGTACCAACCACAGGCCTTCGTGTCTTTGCGAGGATTAAAGATGTTAAGAAACATAAAACATTTGAGATGATCCCCGACTCGAAATGCTTCACAGTACAATACATTATGTCATAATGTATTGTACATGTACTGTGTAGCATGTCGAGTCGGGGGTCATCTAAAAAAACACCTTTTTAATCTTTAATCTTCGTAAAGACACGAGGGCCTGTGGAACCAACTGCAAACCTTATGCAGATGAATTGCACGAGGATCATGCATCAAATTGCTAAAAAGCATCTGCAAATATCGTGCATGTGAACAGCTGCGTTTTGGTGTAAAGTTTTGTTAAGAATTCGCCAATTTTTACTTATTTTTTTCATCTATTAACTCATGACAATAATATTTTCAACGTTACGAATTTGATTTACAATACATCAGGTCACGTGTAAACAGTACCTTTAAACAGTATGAAATATTTTGCAAAATGTAGTTCAGAACAGTTGCCTGAAGTAAGTGGCTATATTTACACCAGTGAGTCTAAACTTTTGATGGGAAGTATATATACAGGGATGGAGATGCTGGCAGAAATTTCATTGAAAAAGTGGGTCTTTGGGCGTGCTTTGAAAGACGTGAGGGTTGGCGATGACTTCAAGTCAATAGGAAGGGAATTCCACAGACATGCAGCAGCAAACGGCAAAGATCTATCACCAAATGATTTCAACTTGGAACAGTTAGCAGGACAAGTTGAGAAGAGCGTAGAGTTCTTACTGGAGCATATGGGATAAAATATCCTGAAGATATGAAGGTCCTGTGTTGTGAAAAGATTGATAGGCCAGGCACAGTATCTTGAAATCGATCCTTTCACGTATGCTGTTGATCACTGGATTGTCTGGTCCAGACTCGACTATTCACAGACCGCCGTCATATAGCTGGAATAATGCTGAGTGCGGTGTAAAACTAAACTCACTCACTCACTCTTATCCAAATATTCATATCTCATTTTTTATCCATACGTTGCACACTGTCACATGACCTACTTACTAGGCAGATTTGATAAGTGTTTTGTTGCCGGTTAACTTACTTCCGGGTAGCGCACCTCTCCGTCCCATGCGAGTAATGTTTGCACGCCGTGTTCAGTGTTACTGCATGTACTCGACATTATACGTGCTGCCGTCGACGAGAAGAGACGTATTTAGATGGGACGTGAGTAATCTTTGGTTTGCGTGAGGCTAGAAATCGTTTTGTAGTATGGAACTGAAAAAGAATTCACTCATATAAAGCCCTCATTCTGAAAATTTAACCTTCTCTCCCACTTAACAACAAGATAGAGTCTTAACCACTGGTATAAACGATTATTTAAAGTAAGAGTAGTCTATCTCACAGGGCCTGAGCCATTTCTTTTTAACTATCACCAAGATCATACTGAAATGCTATAGCACTAAATATAGCATCTAGATCTTATACCGTTTCGAGATCTTCCATCTTACTGCATGGGACTCCTTCACAGTTAAACGGGAGTTGTCTATGTTGAAATTACGTTGTTTCAAAAAACAAAGGGTCAGTCTGGTAAGAGCAACGCACCTTGTAGTCAATATTTTACCATGCTGAATCATGGATCTGTTTGAAACTAAAATACAAAAATGAGATATATTAAACCTATATTATATCCTGAACATATAACATCGTTTATGGCAAACAACTCCTTTATCCTTTATAAGGACATTTCAAGGATTTTTCATTTCAATTTCATTTTTGAAGTACAACACTTTATATCAAATCATATAAAACCTTAAACCAGTTTGGAAACACAAATGCATGCTGGTTTGGGCTTCTTGTTCCTGTTGGTATCATTTTTTTATGAATATGTATTACATTTCAAGTAGCAATCCGACCATAATCGGGAAGCGAACCTAAAACGCCAATGCTTTTGCAACTATATCTGTTTTCCCCATTGTTGTAAACTACATGTATGGTATATTGCAATTAACTGTAATTGAATAAATATTTCAAATCTTTGACTGCTATCAGATATTGACGTGACCCAGCAAGGCTGTGTTTGGGGTATTGATCATTGCAGTACTGTAGTGGCGACGTTATCAGTAGATTATCCGATCACTAGGACACTTGGTTACATGGACAGGACAAATACTCAAACAGTAAATCTATAGACCTAGTTTGCAGTGACACAGGTAATGTCACTTACACTTTTAAAGAAAGAGACTTTGATTTGTAAAATGGAATATATACACATGCACATACACATTACACGCGCGCGCGCACGCACTTACACGCACGCACGCACGCACACACACACACACACACACACACACACATGCAACTGCTCGCGGTAAGAGGCAACTACGGGATCGAGTGATTGGCTGGGCCTACTTGGTTGATATAAGTAATCATATCCCAGTTGCGTAGATCGACATCGTGTGCCTGGTCCAGAACAGATTGTTGACAGGCCTTCGTACGTCGTTCAGCTGAAATATTGCAGACTTATAAAACAAGATATAATCCAAGAAACCCCACGTAAAGGAATTACGCTTTGTACTTTTCACTGCTTGCTTGTTTTTGACAATCACAATAGAGAGAACACAGACATATGACTAAACGAACTCATTTCATAGGTATAATACCTGAATGTTTTAACACGGCGATTGTTCGAGCACGACCAAAGTTTATTGACGTAGATGGGGAAAGACAGTTACATACAAGCAGTGTGCGAAATAGCCACTGGCTTACTAGCCCGTGGCTAGTAAAAATCCAGTCGGGCCAGTAAATCTCCACAGTCACTGGCCCGACTGGCTAATGAATTTTCATGGGTTCATTTTGTAAATACATCACTCTCTCCGAGTTGCTAAGTTATAATACACTTTTAAATCATGCAAGATTATGGTCTGATAAATGATGGTATTTTACCTTTCTGTAACATTTCTACATTCAAATTTCGGGCTAGTGAATTATTTTGTGGGCTAGTAACTTTCAGGCATAGCTAGCCCGACTGGCCAGCAAAATTTGGAAACTATATATTTCTTACACTGCATACAAGTAAAACAATCACCAAGAGTTACAATGTTTGCAAATAGTTACACTTTCAAGACTAACACAATATTTTTACAAAGTTCTAGGACCGTGTCATAATGCCAAAACTTGTAATTCTAAAGAAAGAAAATTTACATGTTGAGAGAGAGAGGTGGGTTTGTAGTGGGTTTGGACAATATTTCAGCTGTTCACAGGGTACTTTGAGGAATTCCCAAACTCTTGATACCCGGGACGGGTGTGTAATGAATTGGACCCGGGTGCCCGTCTCAATACCCGGACCCGTTATGATCATGTGACTAATAGATTAAACAATGTAATATGTTTCTTTCGTGATTATAAGGCTGGTATTGAATTTGACTTCTTATGAATATAATAGATGGTTAAGATATTGAAAAACTCGAAATTTTAGCCTCCGAGCTAATTCTTGCAAATTTGATGTCAGGAATCAACGTAACGGGTATCCGGGTAGAGTAGGGTAATAGGGGGTGGGATACCGGGTAGAAAATTTGGACCCGTCCCAGCCATATCTTACAACACCCAGCACGTACGGTTTGGGTGTTGACATATCTAGACAAAACAGCCGGGGCCAATGTGAGATTCGAAAGAACAATTACAAACTTCTGGCCAAGGGCCACAACTTTGAAAACTCGGCCACCCTAAGCCCCAATAAGAGTACTTTGGACACAGTACTTACAAACAAGAACAAGGCATTTTACAAACCTTCCCCAACCACAAAGCGTGTGTAGCATTACGACCTATCGTAACTCCATATTTTATCATAGGCTTATATTTTCATTTGTGGGAATGGTCCATGGTCACTTGCATTAGTGCAATTTAACGATTATTTCCACATAGTGCGACATAGTCGACAGCGTTGTTTAATACAGTTTTGGTATTTTGCAGCAGGAGAAGGAACTTGCCTGATATTTAGCAGTGTGAAAAGAAGCGGACCACCCATGGAAGCTATTCAAATTCTTCGTTCATGGAGACAGTCATACAGGATGGTGGCGGTGTCATCGGAATGGCCTTAAGCAGTCACCTTTAACCTGACCTTGACCTTGACGTCAACTTAGGTACAGGAATTTAAACCTCTAATGGCATTACACGTTCAGAAGGAAGAGTAAATCCGTCCCAATCCCGAACAACTATGGGATATTCTAGAATCATCCACATTGTCGTATGTATTTCCTCGTTGACATTTCCTATTATGTTTGGCTGTAATTTCTCCACCTTCAGTAATATCAGCTCGAGCTGCCCGACCAACTGTACCTGCCACACAAAAGATGTTTACTGCAACTCGTCGCTGATCAGCGTCCTCAATGGTTCTCTTGACAAACCAGAACACTTCCTATCCTTGAATAACACACAAGTTAATATCTTTGATTTGTCGTACAATGGAATCGCAGAAATTAAAAATAGATTTTTTGAAAGATTGAATATCACAATACACCATCTTCGTCTCTCCCACAACAACCTCACCGAGATCAGTGGCCTAGAGATCAAGGGGATTGTCGCAAAGTTTCTGTATTTATCCCATAATTGTATTCATCGGATATCCCCATATGCTTTTGACGGCAATGTTAGCTGTGTCGAAGGAGTGGATTTGTCGTATAACAGACTGACGTACTTTGAACCTTGGCCTTTTACAAAGAATAATCGAATCTCGACGTTTAACTTCAGTCATAACCACATAAGCAGCTTCAGAAACACCCCAAATCTCACTATTGTGGACATACTTAAGACATCAAAACTAGGTGTGAATAAACTCGTTGATCTCACCTTCAATAACTTCTCAGTGTGGATCATAGATTCTCTGAAAGATGTCTACCACTTTGATGACGATCCAGACACAGTACTCACTATGAAATGTGCAGCAATGGGGTTTCTTCTTCAGAACAATCCCTGGCGGTGTGACTGTCTGATGTATGAATTCAGACATCTCCTTCAATCAGATACATTCATGTTACCAAAGACAGTGCGTGAACAGCTGTCCTTCAACTGTGTCACGCCTCAGAGACTTCGTGGTCAGAATGCCCTCGATGTGCCCGTGACTGAGTTGGTCTGTCCTGTTCTTGGAGGTTGTCCCACGTCTTGCCAATGTCAGAAAGTCCCAGCGTACAAATATACACGTGTCGTCTGTTCATCTCTCGTCTCATTTCCAGACCAGATGCCCTCGGGGCCATTATTTTTAAACTTCAGTTGGAATCGTATTTCAAAACTTGAATTTAGATCATACCTGTCATCTGTAACATACCTTGATTTGTCCAATAACAGACTGCACGTTATAGAAGGGGGTGCAGCACAACACATGGGGAATATTGCTATGCTTAATCTTGCTTCCAACCAGTTGACGACGCTGCCGAAAGAAATACAAGTTGTGCGATTCAGTAATGTTCATTTGGAGGGAAACAAACTCCACTGTTCTTGTGATTTGACGTGGGTTTCTGATTGGATAGACGTCAGGAGTGATGATCCAGCCAATCAGCGCTCGGTATGCTACAAGGATGGGTTGCCTGTGACGTTATCCGCCATGCAGGACAACATTGACTGTGTCAGTGATTTAGTGGTTCCCGTAACAGTAGGCGTTAGCATTACTGTTACCATGGTAATACTCGCTGCTGTAGCATGTCGAGTTTGGGGTAGAAAAAAGCTCCCATTCGTAATGTATTTAATAAGAGGAAGAAAAGTCCAACCCGTTCATAGATACGACGATCAAGAGGCAGAATTTGATTACCATGGTTACTTGTCGTTTGATAACGACAATATGGACATTGTACTCTGGGTGAAAAATGTCCTTTTGGAAAATTTGGAAAATAATGATGAAGGATTTCGAATTTGCTGTCCCTTACGGGATTTTGATGTGGGGGTCTCGCAGGCAGAAGAAATTCTGGATAATATTGACAAAAGCAAGAGGTTTATATCCATAGTGTCCGATACTTACTTCAACCCCCTGAACTGGACATCGTTTGAATATGACCAGGCACAGCATAAACACAAAGACCACGAGTCCAACATTATCATGGTTGTTTACGACAACATCGACGTTGATAATGTAAGATCTGAGGCTGCAAAGAATGCGTTAAACAGGAAGGAGTATTTGAGAACGGGGGACAATTTGTTTTGGCAGAAACTTAAATTTCTGGTCCATACCGGTAATAAAATGTTTTAAAGAGGAACTGTGCTCACCTGTCCTGTATTTGTGTGTCTTGTAATTACTCTCATGTGTGACCGTCTGAAATCGTGTTTAGCCTTGCGGTGCTCGTGTCAGCTGAGCCTTTTGATAATGTAAGATGGGTTGGTGGTTGTGACGAGTTTAGAGACTGTTTAAGGTGGCCGAAACTTGAACATGTGGCTTGAGGGAACAACATTTGATATTTTTAGCTTTCCTAAGAAATTCATGAGTGAGAAGCAGGCATGGCGACGTGTGACGGTACTATCGCACTGTACAATTACATATAATAACTGCTTGTCATAGTGAAACAATATACCCAGTTACGCAAGGAATTAATATTTATTTGCAATGTTGTCATTGAGAGAGTAGTCACTAGGTCCATAGATTAGTTGAGTGAGTTGAAGTGTTGCAATCCACACGTGAAACAGGATTTGAAACAGATACAGGTTGGCGATAAAGACTCAATTCAACATGGATGTGCACTTGAAATACACCTTTTGGAATCATTTCCCAAAAGTAAAGTTTACTGATTGTGACTAACATATTCAAAACATTGTGCACATGCTGCCAAAACACCATAAATGCCCTTTTCAGTGAGTGAGTTGAGTTTTACGCCGCTTTTAGCAATATTCCAGTATATATCTCCGTCAGGAGGTTGCCGACATACTGGACCCTCTTCAGTTCGCCTACTGGTCAAGGAGAGGAGTTGTTGATGCCACACTGTCACTCCTTAATAATGTCTATAAACATCTAGAGACACCTAAATCATACATCAGGATCCTCTTCGTTGACTTTTCATCTGCGTTCAACACTATCCAGCCACATATCATGATACAGAAACTGTTAGACATGGGCGGTAACTCATACCTCATCAAGTGGATCGAAAATTTTCTTGTGGACAGACAGCAGTACGTGAAGTTAACGGGGCTGTATCGAATAAATGGACCACCAACACTGGTGCACCACAAGGCTGTGTAATATCTCCTGTTCTTTTCACCCTCTACACTAATGATTGTGCAAGCTCCAATTCAACCTGTTCAACTGTAAAGTTCGCAGATGATGCAGCAATTGTCGGCAAACTGAACGACACTGATTCTGAAGAACTGTATAAAGAGGACATTAATCATTTACGACTTGGTGTGCAGAAAACCACTTACTCTTTAATGTCACAAAAATAAAGGAACTGATAATTGACTTTCGGAGTAACCCACAGAAATGCTCCCAGTGATAATCAACGGTGAATGTGTTGAGACAGTGTCGGAGTATAAGTATCTTGGAACCTTCATTGACTCTAAGCTGAACATTGAACTCTAACACTGAAGCCCTATACAAAAAGTGTCAACAACGTCTTCATCTCATGCGTAAACTGAGATCTTTTAATGTTAACCCATCTGTGATGTCATCATTTTATGTAGCATTTATTCAGAATTTTTTAACATTTTCATTCCATTGTTGGTACGGGTCTCTCTCAGTTCACCTCAAATCTAAAATAGACAAAATTGTTAACACTGCAAGTAAAATCGCTAGAGTGGGATTTGAATGTTTATCATCAATATATGAGATTCACACGTTGTACCCATGTGGGGAATCGAACCCGGGTCTTCGGCTTGACGAGCGAACGCTTTACCCACTAGGCTACCCCACCGCCCCTGCCCCATCATGAAAATCGTGATTTTGTTGACTCGTACGTGCATGACATGAACCAGCAGTGTAAACCACAGTCGGGACTGTTAGTGATATATCTGTCAATGGCACAAATCAAAATGCCAAGATTATCAGCACCGGAGAACGAGCCAGAACGTTCGGCTGTACGGGGAAGGCCATCATCGAACTAATGACACGCGTGTCACCCAGATTGGCCAGACATCTGACAGTCCCAGAACTGGAAGACCGAGTCTCCATCTCGCATTTTCAATCTGTGCACGGATGCTCACAGCGACGTCATCAGCATCAACAGCGTTGGGTCACCCCATGAGCTTAAACACGGTGATGACAGGACTTTGGGCTGTCGGCATCTGGGTCTATCGACCATTTCGGGGCACGCCATTAACCAGTCAACATTTATTGAATTGCCAACCTCGGGCGAGGAACATGACGTACTGAGAACGTCGTAGCTGGGTAATCTGTGGTACTTTGACACAAAATACATGCAAGTTACAATCAGAACACTTTTCAAAATATTTGTTGTTTTTTGTGTTTTTTTTAAAAAATAATGCCAAAGCACCAGGTGTGTTCTTTTTTCAGTACGTCAGTTTATGTCCCCCAAAGATTGGGTAATATGGTGGTGTAACCCTTAATATATCCACGGGTATAGACTAACGCTTAGTCTCCTGAAATATACTATATATACCCATCAAACGTTTAGACTCACCTAAAGCACTCACTATATGTTATGTATATATATGGTTACATCGAAGATGAATTTCTCCACTAACTTGGTGGAACCAACTTCATTTTTTGCAGATGAATTGCACGAGGATCATGCATCAAATTGCTAAAAGGCATCTGCAAATATCGTTAATGTGAACAGCTGCGTTTTGGTGTAAAGTTTTGTTAAGAATTCGCCAATTTCTACTTATTTATTTCATTTATTAACACATGACAATAATCTTTTCAACGTTACGAATTTGTTTCACAATACATTAGTTAATGTGTAAACAGTACCTTTCAACTGAATGGAATATTTTGCAAAATCAAGTTTAGAACTGTTGACTAAAATAAGTGACTACATTTACACCAGTGAGTCTAAACATTTGATGGGTAGTATATATAATTTTGGTAGAAACAAATAACGTCATTTAACTTGAAAAGGATCCTCAGAGAGCTGGGAGATTAAGATCTAGACTTGCTAAATTTAGGATTTCTGCTGCTCAGAAAGGGTCCGACAGAACTGAATTCGAACTGATACAGACTACTGCAGAAATTCCGGGTTAGATAAGTCACCAGCCAACTATTCTGGTCGTATGAGAAGACAGGATAGTCAACCTCCGTCAGTGACTTGGTTTCTCACAATATCAATCAGCGGATTTTATAGACTTGATTATTTACAGACCGCCGTCATATATCTAAGTGCGAAACAAGACTGACAACAATTTAGTTCCTATTAGGTCCCTACGCGACAACACATGTATGCTATTTTAACACCGGTCCACAGGGGCCTGTAACTGCTGACATCAAGGTATGTACTGTCACTGACGGGGTCTTAGTACTATATAAAAGGATATAGTACTAAGACCCCGTCAGTGACAGTACATACCTTGATGGCAGTTTTTAGCGTTACAAGCCCTGTCAAATAACGTTACTGTATTTTACGTTTAAAACATTATTACACTGATGCATAGAAAACAATGTGCTAGGAAGCTTAGTCTGCCTAAAACACTTCTTTCGCATGAGACTTTGGAAAAAGTGGAAAATAAATACCGACAGCTAAGAGCATCACGCTTCATCGAGAATCCCCACCTGTCTCGATCCTTCTTTGTTGGGTATATTGATCTATTTGACAATAAACGTACTCGGGCAGAGTTACATCCCCTCTTTAAAACTCCACAACAAAGGCTCAAACCGACCGAGCTTCTTATTTGAGGACATGTTTGAATAAACTGTACCGGCGGATGCGCTTTTGATCCATTGAGCCAGTAGAGCGCTGTGAGGAGTTCAGTTATTGTTTGACGACAAGGTGCCCGATATTTTGCGACACACGTATTTGGCGGCTTTAGACACAACGATTTACATATGAATGTAATCGTTCTCGAGTGAATATGTTGATTGGAAAGGAGAGGATATTTCCAAAGTGAAGAGGTATTCCCTGTATCTGTTTTTATACGTTGATGTTGGTCTTCGAATGAAAGCCACTGTACGCTAGGACTAGGGGATCCAGATCTTGCAGATTTGGGACTAGTTTTAATTTTAGTTGCTTATATTTTCTGTTGCTTAGCGATTATTGGATTATCGCGTTGTCATGGGGACGGGAAGAATGATAACAGAGCAGGAGATGATGGGGCAAATATATTTGATAGAATCTGGTGTTCTCTAAAAGTAAAACCAGAGACCATGCATATTTATATGGTCTCTGGTAAAACGTATTAAAACACAAGATAGAAACACGTTGTCTGTCAGTATTTACAAAATACAGATTTTTCCAGAAAAAAGTAACATGTATATACAAGTAGTTTTAGAACCAATCGTCAATGCAAAAATGTCCAAATATTGAAATTAGCCACAGAGATTTCTAATTCTTTGTGATAGACTTCAAGGCAACTAAAACTGAATGGTAAAGGTTCCCTTTATTAATTTCCACTCATTGAAATATTAGGTTCATGGGGTCTTGTAAAGAAAAGAATATCTTTCAATTACTTTCAAGGAGATGAACAATGTTTAAGACATTTTAGATAGCCATATCAATGACAAAATTCTATGGTTTATATTGGAGTGTTGTAGGGAAGGTCATATCAACTATATATCAAAATTGTTGTTTCAGGTGTTGAAAAGTCTGCTATGCTGACCAAATGTTTCCAAGATGGCCATTTCGAGTAAGACAGAGGAAGTTCTGTTTGCTGTTGTTCATTGTTGTAGGGATAGTGTCGACAACTATACTGTACAACTGGTTCCGATGCAACCAGTCAGGTGTTCCACAGTCACAGTGGAGCTACAATTCCAAAGATCCTCGGTTCGTGACCATCTTCCCAGATGCAGGGACCCCTGTTGGCCATACCGGTGATGGCCGGAAGCTGGTTGTTCTGTGGACACCCTTCTTCACAGGTCTCGTGTGGGACGCTGACCACAATGTCTTCCAGGACTGTCCAGTGACCAACTGTGAGGTGACCACAAACAGACACCTCCTCACGTCCAGCCATTCTGTGCTGTTCAACGTCCGAGATCTATCTGACCATCCAGACAGTCCGCTACCCTTGTCACGAACTACGGATCAGATCTGGATTCTGCATAACACTGAACCACCTAATTATATTTATCTTCCACTGAGCAAGTTCAATGGGGTATTCAACTGGACCAGTTGGTATCGTAAAGATGCAACAATCTTTTCTCCATATGGGCGATGGGTGCCTTTAAGTCCTCAAGACAAAATTTTGCATTTCAAGAAAGAAAATTATCACAGGAAGAAAACAAAAATGGCATTGTGGGTAAGCAGCAACTGTAATGATCGCAGCAAAAAGAATGAATGTTGTTCGACAACTCAAACAGTATATAGATATTGACATATATGGTAAATGTGGTAATCTGAATTGTAAAAAAAGCTGCAGAGAAGTATTTGATGACTACAAGTTCTATTTGTCATTTGAAAATGGGTATTGTCGGGATTACTTAACAGAAAAGTTCTGGCGGCCAATAATTCGGGATCAGATCCCGGTTGTGCGAGGCGGAGCTGACTATAAAACAATGGTGCCCCCTGGGTCCTACATAAATGTGGATGACTTTCCAAATGTCAGAAGTCTGGCTGAGTATCTTATGAAAGTTGCGAGGAATGAATCTCTCTATAATTCCTATTTTTCCTGGAAGAAGGATTACAAGTTAGTCCCCAATGGGTGGACGCGCATGAACTGGTGTGGCCTCTGTGAACGTCTGCATGATGTCGAGCAGCCCACACAGGTGTACTCGGATCTCAAGGGATGGGTCGAGCAGGACACTTGTCCATATGGAGAAGGTTGTGTATCATGATGCTGTGTGGAGTGGCTTCCTCTGTAACAATGGCATGTTCATGATTTTATTAAGTGTTTTGGACCTATGAAGATCTGGGTTAGAATTGGTTGTCAGCAACCTGTGCTCGATTATTTACAACCGCTGCCGTAAAGCCAGAATATTATCTGCATTAAACAACAGACAAACAAACAACATATTAACTGTTCAGCAAAATATTCTTTTCTATTATGAGTTGATTGAGGACAGAAGCACTTGAATGTCACTGTTGGGTCTTGGAAAGGCCTGAAGGTGACTTTATTGTGAACAGACATGAATTTCTTGTTTGGTTTGAATTTGTCGGACTGTTGTTCTGAATTTCCTTACTTACATGTAAATGTACAATGGCTTGACCTTCCAAAAACCTGTGTGAAGACATTAAATGTTAGAGTGACAGTTCTGGCTAAAGAACATTACCTATTGTGATTAATTTAAATGCATAGTTGTGAATTGTGGATATGTCAGATATCACTACACTGCCAAACACCCACTGATCGTTTTAATGATGAATACTGGGTATATTATCACATTATGTTCGCATATTTATTTCCTATAGTATCATCATCATCATTATTATTAGACATCCCAGGGTAGCTTAGTAAATTCTGAAGAGTCTTAGATCTGACAGTTTTTGGGGCACATCAAGTGACATTTGTTGTATTGTAGATTAATTGAATCAAGATCTGTTTTGTGCAGGTTACATGAAGCAACACTAAGCAAAGCCTATGTGTTGTAGGTACAATGAATAATATTGTGTGTCCCTCTGTGAATGTTATTTCTGTGTGAAGTCTATACATATGCACCCATGAAAGTACGGGTTAGAATTGATCTTCAGCAATCCATGCTTGTCGTACGAGGCGACTAACGGGATCGGATGGTCAGGCTCGCTGGCTTGGTTGACACATGTCATCGGTTCCCACTTACCCAAATCAATGCTCATGCTGTTGATCACTTGATTGTCTGGTCCAGGATCAATTATTTACAGACCACCGCCATAAAGCTGGAATATTGCTGAGTGCAGCCTAAAACTATACTCACTCACTCTATACATGTGTGTACCAGACACACGTTTGTGCGTCGCATAAAACCTGGATGTTGTCAGCATTAGGGATGTCATGATACATAAGTTTCATGAATCAATACATGTTACGATACCCATGTCAAGATTCGATACGTATCACGATACCTATTTTTGCGGGCGTTCTTGTGTAAATTTAGTTCATTGTGAACATTAATATTTCATATTTTATAATTGTCCGCGAAAAGATCAAGATCTTTTATTCTCAGAGATTAAAAAGTTCTAAAACCCATCTTTGTGCATGAAAAATAATCATTTATAACTCTCATAACATAAAAAAAAATGATACAATTGCAAATTGTAAACAATACATAAACATATTTAAACCGATACTTTCAAAACTAAATATCGATACAGTTTTGAATGTATCGATAATTGTATCGTCTTAGAAAAAGCATCGATTTATCGATGGCATCCCTAGTCAGCATACTGATGAATTTGTATTTACATAAGGCTATCATCACCTGATTCAGACATGTAGCCTCAAATTGAATCAGTTAGGAATACTTGGGTAACTTGAGTCGAACACATTTAAAATAATTAGTAATCATTATTACCATGTTTGATATTGTTTTTGATTAAAATATTAATTTTCAATATGTTATATTTTCCCAACTCATCAAGATTTGCAAAACTTCCCACTATACTTTAAGACAATTGATTACTTGTTGATTATTATTTGTTTATTGTTTTTGAGTTTACATGTTTGGCAATGACTGTTCTGAAGTCATTGTCATCTTCATCACTATGTGTGTATCATTGTCAAAGTTATTGTCTTGTTCCTCTCTCCATGGCTAAAATTATGCCGATACAACTTTAAATTTTAACTCACTCACTCATTATCTCTTCTGTTTCAGAAAATGTGTTTTTAAAAAAAAAATTCTTTTCATACATTTCACTTAATCGGAGGAGTTTGGTTCACAGTGTTGTAATGGTTCCACTGAAAATGGTAATGGTAAGTTCTGCTGGATCGCAGGCTGCTTTATGTGGAACTTGGCTATTGGACAGAAATACAAGGAACTGTAACCAGTGACAACATCAGTTGTCAGGGTTGATAAATCCAGAGAAGCCATCAAGACAATCATTGTATGGTTGGTATAGACTGACACTCTGTAAAAACGCAGCGATGAATTTGGGAAATAAGTTTCAGAGAACTAACACAAAGAATAAGTGTTTTGTGATAGGGACGCCTGAGGGCAGATAAAATTGCAATAAGTTATTCCGAGTTTGAATCCTCATTTATGTTGTCAGAAAAAGACACGAGCTTCCAGTTGGTCTTTGTGTGGACCTGTGTGTGTTTTCAAAGTGTTTCAGTAAAATATTTAATTTCTATGTTAATTTGATATGTTTACTTTATATGACCTTTGTATGGGCTGTGTGCAAATAATTCTTCATAATTCAAATACGGTTATTTTTCTATTCATTTCATCACCCTGTTTGGTTTAAGTGTACCAAAGCATTTGTGTGAAGCGACGCATGTATACAATGGTGTATATTTTTTTGTTTAAGTCATTCCAACTTTTCCACTTGCAATATTCCAGAGATGGTTTTGTTTGAATTTTTACTGTAGCGTAGCATTTTCGTTACATCCAAATAAATTAAAGAGCCAACAAGCTCTGTTGCTCACCTGACAATTTGTATTTGTTTGTAATGTGAAGCACAATCCATGCTTGTTGTAAGAGGTGTTTAACGTGATCAGGTGGTCAGTCACGCTGACTTGGTTGACACATATCATCATATCAAATTATGTAGGTTGATGCTCATGCTATTGATCACTGGATTGTCTGGTCCAGACTGGAATATTTACAGACTGCTGCCATATAGCTGGTATATTGCGGTGTGCGGCATACAACAACAAACACCTAAATCCTGTCAGACAAAGGCTACTTGGGCTCAGCACATTTTCTCCAGACGTGCATACATCGTGGTATCTATTCAAGTAATATCTTATTAAATGAGAACATTTACAAACAATGGGACAATCTTTATGTTTGTAGATAACTTTATTTCCATTCTTCTCCAACAATGATGTAACAACATTTCCATTCTATAAGTGAAAAGATACATCATACAATCAGTGAAGGATGATGGGAGTAGAACAGTGATACACAGTTACCTCCCTTTGAGCCCTCCGCCATATGGCCTCAGTAAAATGACTGAGATAATACACTAAAAAATTCATGAAATGCAAAAATATTGTTTACTTACTTTAAGTGGATTGAACCACCTTTTTTCATTGTGCCATCTTTGACCCACCAGACTATTATTATACAACCATTCCATCATGCTCTAAGCTGGATCCCTACGCCACTGAATGTGTGCTGTGGAAGTAATGTTACAACCTTTCCCAATCATTTCTCATCAAGCACAAAATTTCTGCTGCTCATGAGTTTGAATCAGTTTGGCACAGATCTACATTAAAACAAGCCAAGTAGTACTAGCAGCCTCATTCAAGCAAGTCCATCAAATATATATTTCTAAATCAAGGACTTTCTTACAAATCAGAATGAACTTTCAGATAAACAAAATCTTTTCTTAAGAATAAAGGCTAGGGACATGCCTACTGCTACCGGAAATTCCAGGTTGTATTTGAGACACGACATTGTTACTTCCCTTATAAGGAGTGCCCGTAAGCAATTTTGTGTAGTTCTAATGATTGGCTATTATTAGTGTGTTGCCAATTGTATTGGATTTAAAATGAAATGGAATGAGTCTACAGTAGTAACGTGAATAAGTGAGTTTAGTTTTACGCCGCACTCAGCCATATTCCAGCTATATGGCAGCGGTCTGTAAGTAATCGAGTCTGGACCAGACAATCCAGTGATCAATAGCGTTAGCATCGATCTACGCAACTGGTATACAAAGACATCAATCTACCGTGACATGTGTCAAGCAAGTCGGTGAGCCTGAGCACCTGATCCGGTTAGTTGCCTCTTTCAACAAGCATGGGTTACTGAAGATCAATATTCTAACCCAGATCTTCACGAGTTCCAGAGTAGTAATCATAATGGAATGGAATTATGATACGCTGGACTATCAGGGATGTTATCATCAACTGTAAGTACATTTCAGAAAGAAATACTTCCCCTCAGACTTTATGAACACATCTTAGGTGGGTTAGCCTAATGGTTATCATGGTTAAAGCGTTGGCTTGTCACACTCAAGTCCTGGTTCAGTTCTCCACAAATGTACAATGTGTGAAGCCCATTCCCAGTATCCCCAACCATGATATTGCTGAAATATTGCACAAGTGGCTTAAGATCATACTCACACATCTATTCTGAATCCACTCTCTACCATAGCTTTAGATTCATAGTGAGCAAAAACTAAGCAATAAATTCAACTACACTCATCTGCAATGGAAATTCTCTGGAAGCGTGTAAATATGTTTTTACATCACTTTTAGCAATATCATGGCAATATCATGGTAAAGGACTACAGAAATGGGCTTCACACATTGTACCCGTATGTGGAATCGAACCTGGATTTTCAGCGTGACGAGTGGACTCTTTAAATCATTACGCTACCCCACCATCCCTCTCTGGGAGTGAGCATCCATTGAACCACCCTCTGGATCTGTAAATGATGAAAGAGACCAAGAAGGTCTGTGGTCTAGTTTCGTGAAGTCATCATTGCACAACGACTGTCATAAGTCCATGTTAAACTGTGAGAGTGAGAGTTATGATAGCCGTACCATTATGATCGCTGTGTGAAACATGACATAGGGTATTTACGATAAGTGGGATCTACAATTTGGGACACTCTAAACTTTTGAGTCTTGATATTTAACACATATCATTCTCAGAAGTAGACCAGTGATTATGTTGATAAGGTCTTCCTCTACTTTGGCTGTACTGATATTACCACATAGCTGTTTAAAATAACAGCATGGAATTCATTTCCATACCTTCAAATTACACTATTTTGAACATTATGTTTGGGTATCATTGTTAAGAATAAATTCCTTAATGCTTTGTAAAATTATTTCAATTTCACAGTAAAACAGTCTACACTCTCGCTTTGAGTTATTAGACAAGTCATAAACATCTGTTGAAGATGTTATTTTTCATTAACAGTGTAGACATATTGATACCATCATAAAACACAAATCCTATATCACGTCTCTCCTACAAGTTTAACCCGTTCTTTGGTTACTTTGAAGTTTGGGTTTTTGGAAACCTTCTTCTCAAACTTAGCCCAAAGCTTTTCCTCGGACTTTGGTGGTCCCATCTGTGATAGATACTCCGAGATGACCTGGGGACAGAAAGATTGTAAACACATACACATTAATCATTCTACATGAATAGATACTCGAATATCACATATCACAGTTGGCACAGAGACATGAATAGATACTTTCGAATATCAGAGGGCACAGAGAGAGAGATTGTAGACATACACAGAGGGCGGATATTTTGATATCACCTCGGGTACAAAAAGAAAGACTGTAAACACATACATGTCAATCATTCTACATCCTGCCGAGTTGGAATATTACTGAGAGCAGCATTGAACATTTCAAACAACAAACGAAAACAGATACCCACCTTTTTCTTCAATTTCTTGATTGCAATTTCCCCTTTCGATGTCAACACTTCAGTGATCACACTTTCCCAGTCAAACTTAGTTTTTTTCTTAACAGGCTCCTCCTCCTCCTCTTCAGGCTCATCTGGTTCTTCCTCCACCTCATCTTCCTCCATCCTCTTCCTCTTCTTTCCCTTGACTTCAACCTGCTCTTCCTCACGTTTCCGTTTTTTCTTCTTCTTTGACTTCGACTGCTCTTCTGTTGGTTCCTCATCTTCATCGTCTGCTCCACTCTTGTCCTTTTTCTCCTTTTTATTCATCTTTTTCCTCCTTTCTTCCTTCCTTTCTCTCTTACTCAGTTTCTGCTCTTTCTCTGCGTGTCCATTTTCACTGACACCGTTTTGAATGTTTGTTGTGTCAGTGTTTTCTCAGCTTCTGCTGCTGCCTTATTGTGATCTTGCTTGTCCTGAGCAGCGTGCTGCATGTTCTGAAACAAGAGTTAGTGAGTGAGTGAGTTTTACACCACACTCAGCAATATTCCAGCTATATGGTGTCGGTCTGTAAATAATCAAGTCTGGACCAGACAATCCAGGGATCAACATAAACATCGATCTACGCAATTGGGATACGATGACAAGTGTCAACCTAGTCGCCTCTTACAAGTATGGGTTACTCAAGATCAATTCTAACCCGGATCTTCAGGGGTGAGTGAGTGAATACCACATCTTAGCCATGCAAGCTGAGGGACATGGAAGATGCTAAAAGATGGCAAACAGTTTACATGGTTAACATGCACGACATGTACAATATTGAGACTCGAGCATCATTGTATGTATGGTATCGAGACCCAAGCAACAAGATATGTTCGGTATCATGACTTAACTTTACAATGTGCATGATATCATGACTCACGCTTTGTGATATGTATGATGTGACTCAAGCATTGAGATATCAATCATATCATGACTCAAGCATTACAATATGTATATCATGGCACAAACATTGTATTGTTTATTGAATCGTTACTTGCATATTATGATATGTATGATACTGTTCCTCAAGCATTATGATATCAATGATAACATTAATTAAGCATTGTGATACGTATATCAATACTCAAGCATCGTAATATGTAAGATATTGTGACCCAAACATTGTTATATGTGTGATATCAGGACAAGCATTATGATATGTATGATATCATGACTCAAGCATTGTCAAAGGTGAGTGAGTGAGTTAGTTGAGTTTTACGCCGCACTCAGCAATATTCCAGCGGCGGTCTGTAAATAATCAAGTCTGGACCAGACAATCCAGTGATCAACAGCATGAGCATCGATCTGGGAATTGGGAACCAATGACATGTGTCAACCAAGTCAGTGAGCCTGACCACCCGATCCTGTTAGTTGCCTCTTACGACAAACATAAATTACTGAAGATCAATATTCTAACCCGGACCTTCACGGGTCCATTGTCATATATGTGATATTGTGACAGTAGTCTTATCTTGACATACTGTAGTACCAAAGGTGCTTATGTTTCACCTTGACAGCCTGCTCCATAAGCACATTCCACAGCTGGGAGATTAAGCCTGGATCACGGATCCGTAGGCTGTTCATCAGGAAATTCTGAAACCCCCAAAAAGAAATATTGAATATACAATTACACATCATTAAACTTGTAATAGCGAAACTAAATCCAAACTGATATGCCTCTTCAAAACCTAAGCATGTCATGTTATAGGATGATATTATTACAGTATTGATGGCGATACTACATCCATACAAACTTATGAATACCAAAACAAAATCAATAGTTCATTGACACATAAATATTGACATTTACTTATGTAAAGATCACCATGGTTAAGATGGAGCTGTGAGAAGGCAAACATTTCAAATTACAGCTATAAAAATACATAATAATTAACCTTAATAATCAGTATAAATATCACGTTGTGGATACTTCTTTCTCAATATTACAATTTCTTTTCAGTGACAGCCCTACTGACCTCAAACTTGTTCTTCTTTCGAGGAATGTTAGGATAGTTCTTGATGCTCTCCAGGGTGCCTCGTAGTCTGGGGTTGCCTCCCCTCTGGTTATCTATGGCTGACTGGACCTGCTGTAATATCATCATAAAAAATATCAGTTACCATGGTTACAGCTTTCGTAATAACATCATCCTTTAAATTTATAAGTGAGTTACTATGATTACTAATAAATCTAAAAAATATCATAAAGCTAAGAATCAATATAGCTTTTACTACTGCAATATGACAATGAGTCTGGACCAGACAATCCACTGATTATGATTATCAATCTTTGCAACTGGGATATGATGACATGTGTCATTACTGTCAACGAAGTCAGCGAGCCTGACCACCTGAACCTGTTAGGTTCCTGTTACGAGTGAGTGAGTTTAGTTTTATGCCGCTTTTAGCAATATTGCAGCATTAACACGGTGGGGGTCATCAGAAATGGGTTTCACACATTAAAGCAGTCGGGGAATTGAACCTGTGTCTTCGGTGTGATGAGCGAACACTTTAACCTCGAGGCTACCCCACCGCTTTCTTACGACAAGAATTGGTTGCTGAAAACCAGTTCTACCCTGGGGTTATCATTGATCTGGGATACTGAGATACCCAGATTCCTCACAGCGTCTTCATCATGGTGACGAGTGGGATATGATGAGGGTATAAAGTTAAACATGTTCATTAACTCTGTATCGTTCATTAAGAGTGAGTGAGTTATTATTTAACTTCACATCGGCAATATTTCAGCCATATCGTGACGAGAACATATTTGATTTTGAAGTGGAATATATGTATAATTCTAAAAACCTGTCGACGAAAGACAGTAAAACAACTAAAATATCACAATTAGAATTAAAACTAGCGTGGAAAGTTTAAAACTAATAGCACTATAGGGACAATACAATATAAAAAACAGGCTATAGATTGCCAACAACAGAAGGTAGATCACCTTACTAGGGACCATGGGGACTTATAGTACCTTTGCTACCTGCATGGACCCTAGTTGGATTTACACCATCCCTTCAGCCGTTGGCGATTATAAGAAATGTTAGCCAAAATTAAAATAACAAGAATACTACGTTTAAAAATACAGGTAAGTTTAAATTGACTTTCAGAGTTTTGGGATTTACGTACCCTCTCAGGGGGACAATAATTTTACGATCGTTCCTTAAGAATACACATCAAGAACATCATGGCCTAAAAATGAAAACTTACATTTACACAATGCACAAACCAATAGTCTCACAGCTCCATGCACGATCATGTTACGGTTACATTAACAATTTTCCTTAAGACAGGGAGATCACTCCCAATGCAGTCTTCACTAACCTCTATCCAGCGATCCTGCTTGGCCTCGCCTTTGTTGACTTTGGCCACATATCCCTTCCCAGAGTACTTCTGGTCTTCACTGATACACTTTGTGTGCTTCTCGAAGTCATTTCCCCTATAACCATGACATGAGTTGAACAAACAGGAAAACACAACAACGTATGGTATGGTTTTACAACTTCTTTACTATTTACAACACAACATTTCTAGGCTAATTCTTGCCCCTACATCAGGTGAACATGCTACTGGCATTCTTCGTAAACAGCTCTTTTTGTTGTCTAAATTACATAACAACAAGTTCAACTAGCCAGTTCGGGGAGTTAAGCATTTTTATGAGGCTTAATCGATCCATGCTTTTGTAAAGTGTATAGTTGGCATAGTGGAAATGTATTTTTAGCAATGTTTATGAACACAAATAAAATAAAAAAACATATCATGTTGACATGATTATTATGATGATAGGGTGAAGTGGCGTCTTGTAATGTATTAAACGAAAATGAAGCCATGGTTACCTTGACAATTAGTGAACTCGTTAGGATGAGAAAGCCACAATAACTCGGTGCACCTAGTGGCTGCAAGAGTTGTATGATCCCCAGGGAGTTGAGATTGATAATGCGATGTGCCGTTGAGATTGACATCCAATGATCGAGGGAAAAAATACCAGAGCCTTGAGCATGCACTAGTGCGTGGATATGTGCGCTATATAAATATCCTATAATAATAATAAAATAATAATAACTCACCAGAAGTCTTGGCCACAGTCAATACAACATACAGACTGACAGTTTCGACATTTTGTCATGCAGTGTTTTTCAACCTGGTTCTTTTTAAGGGCTTCATTACATACGTTACAGGAGAAAAACACCATGGTCAAGCTAATCAGGATTTGTCTGAAAGGACATCACAAACAATGTTGATTTTTCTGATATACTCTGAATTAATAATATGTTTAAGGAAAGACTTCCGTCTGTATCCCACCTTAAATTTCATTCTAGTCAAATCATATCACCTGAATATATATATTTATCTGATAAGGATGAGTTTTAACATGTATTTTAATTGTATCTCATTGTTAAAATTTAGGGGGGATACGGGCGGAAGTTATACCTTGTGTCAAAGAACTATGAACATAATGAAGACGAGCCTTTAGTAGCCTATTATCATACACTCTCGGTATTCTTATTTTACTTCTGCCGATGTATGGATTCATGAATTAATGTCAGTATGTGATTATTTCAAGAATATCATGAATACACGGACTTTATAGTTGTCAGTATTATGTGCATCTGGATTATCATAATAACAAACTAACCGTATCCTGCAACACGTGTGGAAACAACCGGAAGCAACACTGTTTCCTAAAGCCGCTTCACCTCAGCGAAAAGCCCCTTACAACAAAGCAAATTAATGCCACGCCTAGACTGGTGATTTTATGAAACTTCTTTCAGTATTCGGAAACTTTTAACACATAAGATAACAGGATTCATTATCAGTGATACATAGGGGCACGTCGGGAAGTTAAAAAGAATGCGCGCAGTATATAAATTCATGGCGAGTGTCACAATATAGATCTACACTATTGTTATGCTAATTGTATGGGCTATATCTGTGTATGACGAAGGGAAACATCGCAAAGGGAAAGAGAAAGTAGACAGGTGTACAATATGGAGGACGCAATACATCAACGTTGTGTTCTTTTACAAGGCTTTCCTCAAACTCCTAACCCCCATCAGGATATACAACGTCTTCTGGACGACTTAGCTGGGATACAGAATAGAAAAATCTGCCAACTACACAGGCTGTCTGTCACGAACACACCGGAGTGGGTTATACTGTGCCACAGTGTGGAAGGTCAGATTTATTCTCATACTTGTTATATGTATAGTAGGGCTTACCCGGGCTAGGCAGATAGAAGAGGGTGACTAACAGGACTGGAAAACATATCCAAGATCTGAGGATATTGTCAAATTGCCCAAGACAGGTTTTGTGCCATCAAGACATTCAGTTTTCTATGCAGAACACGGGTTTTGTGGTGTAAAGACACACCTTTTCCTATACTGTATACAGAACACGGGTTTTGTGTTGTAAAAACATACAGTTTCCTATACAAAACACAGGTTTTGTGTTGTAAAGACATACAGATTCCTGTACTGTATACAGAACACAGGTTTTGTGTTGTAAAAACATACAGTTTCCTATACAAAAGACAGGTTTTGTGTTGTAAAAACATGCAGTTTCCTATACAAAACACAGGTGTAGTGTTGTAAAGCCATGCAGATTCCTATACTGTATACAGAACACAGGTTTTGTGTTGTAAAGACATACAGATTCATATACTGTATACAGAACGCAGGTTTTGTGTTGTAAAGACATACATATTCCTATACTGTATACAGAACACAGGTTTTGTGTTGTAAAGACATACAGATTCCTATACTGTATACAGAACACAGGTTTTGTGTTGTAAAGACATACAGATTCCTATACTGTATACAGAACACAGGTTTTGTGTTGTAAAGACATACAGATTCCTATACTGTATACAGAACACAGGTTTAGTGTTGTAAAGACATACAGATTCCTATACTGTATACAGAACACAGGTTTTGTGTTGTAAAGACATACAGATTCCTATACTGTATACAGAACACAGGTTTTGTGTTGTAAAGACATACAGATTCATATACTGTATACAGAACACAGGTTTTGTGTTGTAAAGACATACAGATTCATATACTGTATACAGAACGCAGGTTTTGTGTTGTAAAGACATACATATTCCTATACAAAACACAGGTTTTGTGTTGTTAAGACATGCAGATTCCTATACTGTATACAGAACACAGGTTTTGTGTTGTAAAAACATACAGATGCCTATACTGTGTACAGAACACAGGTTTTGCGTTGTATAGACATACAGATTCCTATACTGTATACAGAACACAGGTTTTGTGTTGTAAAAACATACAGATGCCTATACTGTATACAGAACACAAGTTTTGTGTTGTAAAGACATACAGTTTCCTATACAAAACAGGTTTAGTGTTGTAAAGACATACAGTTTCCTATAAAAGAACAGGTTTTGTGTTGTAAAGACATACAGATTCCTATACTGTATACAGAACACAGGTTTTGTGTTGTAAAGACATACAGATTCATATACTGTATACAGAACGCAGGTTTTGTGTTGTAAAGACATACATATTCCTATACAAAACACAGGTTTTGTGTTGTAAAGACATACAGATTCCTATACTGTATACTGAACACAGGTTTTGTGTTGTAAAGACATACAGATTCCTATACTGTACGCAGATCACGGGTTTTGTGTTGTAAAGACATACAGTTTTCTATACTGTATGCAGAACACAGGTTTTGTGTTGTAAAGACATACAGTTTTCTATACTGTATACAGAAAACGGGTTTTGTGTTGTAAAGACATACAGTTTTCTATACAAAACACCGGTTTTGTATTGTAAAGATATACAGTTTCCTATAGTGTATACAGAACACAGATTTTTGTGTTGTGAAAACACAGTTTCCTAAACAAGACACATATTGTTACGATATACAGTTTCCTATACAGAACACAAGTTTGCAATTATTGCAATGAGGCAGGATTAACTGTTAATTTTGAGAAAACTAGAATAGTCGTATTCAAAAATGGGGGCAAACAATCTAAAACGGAAAAATGGTATTATAAAGGAGAGAGAGTCGCTCCAAGTCACACAATCATATAAATACCTTGGAGTCTACTTCACTAATCGTCTTGGCTTTTCAGCACATGCTAAATATTGTTCCACACTAGCCAAAAAGGTACTTATTGGGGTTCTTAAAAGTATTCACAAACTCGTAGATGTTGATTATCATTCTTTTTTCAAAATATTTGATACAAAAATCCTTCCTATTCTATTGTATGGTTCCGAGGTATGGGGTTTCAATAATTTTGACGTAATTGAGAAAATACATTTATATACTTGCAAGAAATTTTTAGGAGTGAAAGTAAATACACCTAATGCCATGGTATGTGGAGATTGTGGAAGATTTCCCATACACATTTTTGCTAAAGCTAGAATAATAAAATATTGGATACGTCTGTTAAATATGCCATCTGATAGATACCCTAGACAGACTTATGATATGATGTTAATGTACGATAACAACGGGGAAGACTAACTGGGTGACTAACATTGGAGAATTGTTAAATACAATAGGTTTTGGGGAGGTATGGCAAAGGCAAAATGTTGACTTTCATACAAAGTTTGTGAATAATGTTACTCAAAGGCTCAAAGATATATGTACACAAGAATGGGTAGGAGCACTGTCATTGTCAAGTAAATGTTTCTATTATAGGATGCTTTAATCCCATATATACAGAGAGAATTATCTGCTCTCACTAAATATCAAGAAATTTCGAAAGGCTTTTGCTCGGTTTAGGTGTTCCTCACATGACTTGGCAATCGAAACAGGGATATATCATAAAATAGAGAGGGAAAATAGAATTTGTACATTTTGTGATCTTAATTGTGTAGAAGGTGAATATCACTTCCTCTTAATTTGCACATTATATTGTGAGTTAAGAAAAAAAAATGTCCAAAGATATTATTCTGTATATCCCGATAGGGTGAAATTTTCTTTGTTAATGAGTACTGGTGACAATGTTCTTATCCGTAAGTTGTCAACCTTTATCTATCAAGCATTGTCTCTAAGAAATAAACATAATAATTCATAGAATGTATGTACTCATATTGTTATTTGTTACGATATGGTATGATGTGGTGCGATATGATATGATATATGATATGATGTGATACGTGGTATGATATGACATGATGTAATATTGGGTGTTATGATATGATGTGATACGACAAAGTATGTGTAATGCGATGTTATATGATGTGGTACATTTTGATGCGATATGACATATTGTGATTTGACTATTTTTATTCTTTTCTATGATATTGTGTACTATGTTCTTGTATACTATGGGCCTGTGGCCTTCAGTATGAATAAAGATTGAACACAAGTTTTGTGCTGAAAAGACATACAATTTTCTGTACAAAACAACGGCTCTGCGTTGTAGAGACATACAGCTTCATATACAAAACACGGGTTTAATTTGTGCTGTGAAACATACAGTTTCCAATGCAAAACATAACTTTTGTGTCGTAAAGACACAGTCTCCAATATAAAGCATATGCTTAGTGCTCAAAATACATACGGTTTCCTATACACAACAGGTTTTGTGTTGTTAAGACATGCAGATTTCCATACAAAACACAGGTTTTGTTGTGTAAAAAAGATACAGTTTCCTATCAAAAAACAACACAGGTTTTGTACTCTAAAGGCATTTAGCCATTCATAAAACACAGGTTTTGTGCTGTAAAGACATACAGTTTCCTATACAAAACATAGTTTTTGTAGTGTAAACACATTCAGTTTCCTATTCAAAACACCTGTTTTGTATAGTTTCCTTTCAAAACACAGGTTTTGTGCTGTGAAGACATTCAGTTTCCTCTACAAAACATAGTTTTTGTAGTGTAAACACATTCAGTTTCCTATTCAAAACACTTGTTTTGTATAGTTTCCTTACAAAACACAGGTTTTGTACTTAAAGACATTCAGTTTCCTGTACAAAACATAGGTTTTTTTTACATTTTTCTATACACAACACAGGTTTTATGCTGTGAAGACATCGAGTTTTTTATACAAAACACAGGTTTTGTGGCTCACTAGAAGTCAAGCCATTCAAAAAGCAAGTATATTTTTTTATCATAAGGCGACAGTGTTTAAGTAAAGGTGCTGACAATTAGCAAGATAATGATTAAAAAAAACACAACGGTAAATGAAATCAGTCTATGTAAAGACGTAGTTATGTTCATCCATTAACCATTGCAGATGCAGTTGCAATCCTGGACAAGGGTTTTCCTCCTTACGGAGGATGTCAGCTTACTGTATCACCTTGTGGAACTCAAAATGTGCCGCCAGAATGGAAGAACCCCGCACCGGAACCTCAGGCATGTAAAGGGGCGGTGGAGTAGCCTAGTGGTTAAAGCGTTCGCACGTCTTGCCGAAGACCCGGGTTCTATTCCCCACATGGGAGCAATGTGTGACAGCGTTAAACAAAAACCAAACCAAATACAATGTGTGAAGCCCATTTCTGGTCTACCCCGCCATGATCGCTGGAATATTGCTAAGAGCGGCGTGAAATAATGTATCATTTTTTTCTAATATTCCATTTTTGGGTTATATTTCCATTCATTTCAAAACAACAATATGTGCATATACATGTACACAAGATTGGGTTTCATTTAAATGTCATATCTAAAACATTACACAGGGTTGCTGAAAAGCATATGTTGAGACGACCATAAGACGAGAAGACGAGAAATAATATATCATGATTACTCACTCCTATCCCCATGCTGTTGATCACTGGATTGTCAGGTCCAGACTGGATTATTAACAGACCGCCACCATATTGCTGAGTGTGGCGTAAAACTAAACTCACTCACTCAATCCTATCAAGTTCTCTGATAGGTATTTGCATGTCTCTGAAACGGCTTCAGGTTCCTCACATGTGGATGTAGCAGAAGCGCTTTCTCAAACTATTCCAGTACTCACAAGCCACGGGCCTATTGTACAATCCAATATTAATACAATATAAACAATTCATAGAGTATATACATATTTACATTAAATCATATCCTGAGTATAATAAACAATTCATAGCGTATATACATATTTACATTAAGATCATATTCTGAGTATAATAAACATTTCATAGCGTATATACATATTTACATTAAGATCATATTCTGAGTATAATAAACATTTCATAGCGTATATACATATTTACATTAAGATCATATTCTGAGTATAATAAACAATTCATACAGTATATACATATTTACATTAAATCATATCCAGAGTAGTTATTGATTTATTTATTCATTTATCAAATTACAGGTCAAGGTACAGTAAATCAACATTTTTACATTTGATTTTGTTAGCAATAGTGGAAATGTAGTAGTGTTCGGATAATTATAATAATATGATGGAATATATTTTTCTATACAAGTATAATGGACAACAAATTAAAAGTGGTGTTCCTCTTCAATTAATTTTAAGTTACATAGTTTGCAAGTTCTTTTTTCTCGATTTATATTTGTATAACGGCTAGTTTCATCAAGGAGAGCGTGGGATGAGCAAACGAAATTGAATGTTACAACCGGAACGATGTGCTATCCATGTAGGCAATATATGGCCCAGTTTCCGCCCCTCTGGTTTGTCCTCTGTTAAACTCACCTTGTCTGGTGCCACGTAAGCTTTTGTAGTCGCCGTCTTTAACCCTTTTACATATTCGAATTCAACAGTGACATTACTAGATGGATACAGCTGAAATTCTGTATGAATGTATGTTACCATAAAGCGTTTCATGTCTGTTTATGTCATTAAAATTGGAATTTCAACATGCATGTAGCCATCTTTGATTTATGCATAATTTGAACAGTGAGATGGCCATCTTTTGTAGTAAACGTTTGTTGAAGACAATCTATTCGTGATTAAAAACATAGTAAACATCATCTCAGAAAGCCCTAAACCAATGAAGCTGATACTTCAAACAATTTTCCCGTCAATGTTGACACCTGAATGTGTTCACAAATTTCGAATCTGATTTACAAATGGCCACGATGGCTGCTATATTGAAAACCTTTCTATGGCCACTGTCATTTCGCCTCAGTAAGCACTGCGTTAGTGGCTCTGTAAAAATGTCTCCTGAAATTGCCAGAACAGGATCGAAGCAAAACGTTGTCATGCTTCATGTTTTTGGCTATGGTATTACTTAAAGGGCTATGTGTTGCAGTATGTATTGCTTGTTCTGCAAAAATAGAACCACTCTTTAGATATGACCGTTTTCAAGCATGTATAAGAAGCTATACCGAAACGTCGCTATTCTGAAATGAAAGAAGTTGATCATCCATAAGTCTTGTCATCTCTATACCATCATTTTCTAGAATGCCACTCAAACATAAATCATTCTTGCCGGGTTTGAAACATTGAGGAAATGAAGTTACTTGTTTTCATATTTGTTAATATTGTTTTCATCAGAAGTTCTGTCGATACCTTCAATACTGACAGCAGCTGTTTTGTAAAGCTATTATCCTTCCTGATATTTTATCTATTGCCAAAATATTGTACTGAGATGCAGCAACATAGCCTATTATTCAGTCAGTATTTCTGTTTATTGATATTGAGAAAATAAACCAATCCAAACACTACCCGTATACCTGAACGACATTCAAAGGGTCTTAATCTGAATGCTTATGTAACTGAAATCCATGTATTTGTTTAGATTTTCTTTCAACCAAAGGGCTACTTGTGTTTGCATAGGTGGCTGACAACATTACAAATACAATTACAAATAAAACAGTACAAATAAAATGTATAATAATTTAATATATGATATTAATATTATAATGAAATAAATTACAGGGGACGATGCATTCTCTGAGTGCAAACAATGGTTCCTCATCTCCTACAGAAAATGATCGGCTTCGTCAGGACATTCCAGAAGAACCGTCACATTTTGAGTCGATGAACTACAATGTGGAAAATCCGCAGACGCGGACGAGAGCAGGTACTTCTGAAGAATCCATGTCATCGAACAGGAACTATTCCAGCACAGCCGGAAGTCAACAGACTTCACATGGTTTACCACCAAGACACCCAAATGATGTTCCTTACAACCATCCAGTGTATCATCCGCATTCCAGGTCCTGCTCATCCACAACGGCCATTTTATGCTGTGGATCCAAACCAGTTTTACTACTGGCAACCTCATTACCAGTACCCACGTGTTCCTGTTCCACGCTATCAGGGACAACCACCTCTGCTTGATTCAATCTTATCCAAATCCGCCACATTTTGGATATGGTCCACTACGCCACTGCAACCTCCCCGCCACCGCCACCGCAACCTCCCCGGTACAGAATGCCAGCATCGTCACTCTCCGTCGATCACCCAGCCAGTTCCGCTAATTTAATGGCAAGACCTCTAGAAAATACCACACAGCATATAGGTGAGAACAATTCAATGAGGGTCATCTATGTTTGTTTGCTTTCCGACCATTAGAACCAAAACAAGTCGCAAGTTATAAATGTTAAGAAGAGACTGTATGTGACCAACCCTTTGGACAATTTGTTGAGTGTTTTTTTTTTTTTTATATAATTGTTTATTTTTTATTCTCCATACATCCAGGCCATACAGTTCATTACATAACGGGTTGGTATAAACACGATCCGCAAATATATACAAAGTCGATTTACAGGCAAAATGAATAGGTACTTGAAAATATAACAGCAGTACATTATATATAGCGCTAGGTTAACAGAACAGGTTGTGACATAGTGACCAAAATTTTGTGAAGCTGTCGTATTTGCAATTTGAATAGGCATTAAAACGTTCAGCATAATATGTTGTCTTTACGTCTTCTATAATGTAGTTCAAATTTGGTGTTTTATCTCTTTGTTTCATTTTGTATACATTATATTTCACTACTGTTATTAACAAATTCGGAGCATGGTTTCTCTTTTTCACAATATCCTAGAATAATATTTTCTTTAAAAAGATAATATTTAACCATGATTTTTCGAATATCCTTTCTTCTATTTTCTTCCAAAGAGCTTTTGTGACTTTCCAGTCACAAAATAGATGTAGAATTGATTCTTTGTCGGATTTGCAAAATGTGCATGTGTTGGAATATATTTCATTGTTGTTAGCAAATCATTTGTTGGCAGAAACCTATGCAGTATGCTGTATTGGAACCACGAGTGTTTTACACTATTATACGGTTTAAAGGTTGTTTGTTCTATCGTTTCCCGTATATTATCGTCAATAGACTCATTAAGTTCTTTTTGCCACTTGTTTCGATATGTTAAAGGTTTTCTAGATTTACCATTTATGAGTATGTCATAGATATCTCTACATCCTTTTGGGTTTCCTACTATATTTCGTAAAAGATATGGCAAGACCGGGGCTTGGATTTTTTCTTCAATATGGATGTTTATGGATTTGCAGTAGTATTTAATTGATTCCACTATTCCTTGACGCTCTAGGAAGTTAGTTTTGCACCCAAACGATTTTTTTTAATTGTTCAACCGTTAAAAAGTTACCTTGGGCGTCAAAACATGTCGTTTATATAAGTAATCCCTTTGCTTGAAAAATGTTTATAATTGATTGGTTTTCAATCTATTTTAATATTGTCATTTAACCGTAAGGGTTGGGATAAAATATCACATGCTTTTTCTGCTTTTCTGGTTACGAATTTACCCCATGATTTCAAAGTGTCTTTCCAAAAATGATTTGTTTCTTGTGTTATTACTGTTTCAAGTATGTGTGTTTCGCATGTTTGTATAAAGCTGTCGAGGTCCCAATGTGTCTTCGTTTGTAGCAGTTTCCTTACTTTTGAATCTGAGTTGGTGAGTCTTTTAATCCATGATATTTTTTGTGATTGAATAAGACTTTTTATCTCTGGGGCTCGTATTCCTCCGTATTCATAATTCTTTGTGATAGTTTCTCGACTGACTTTGTCTGGTTTGTTTTTCCATATAAATTTAAAGCAGAGCTGCTCAATTTCCTTAATCATTTGATCGTTTGGGTTGGGTAGAGTTACAAATAAATGATTAAGTTCGGTAAAAGTAAACTTTTCAATATGGTATTTCTACCTAAGGGAGTTAGATCTCTTGCTAGCCATTGATTCATTGATATTTTGAGAGTCTTAAGTTTATCTTTATAGTTGCGTTCAACCATTTCTGCGATGTTGTGGGTAAATACAATTCCTATTTAGTGTAAACGAGTCAGTCTTCCAGTCTAAATTCCAGTTTCTGCAAAATTTTCTTTTAGAGTTTTTTTCTGAGCCTATCCATAATACCTGTGTTTTGTTTACATTTATTTATAAGCCTGAAAATGAGGCATATTTACTAAGAATTTCTAATGTCGCCTGTAAACATTTTTCAGTGCCATCTAGTATCAGCGAAGTATCATCAGCGTATTGGGAAATTAGGTATTCTGTATCTCCAATTTGTATTCCTTTTATTTTATTATTATTTCTAATCATTGTTGCCAAAAATTTCTGTGCACAGTATAAAAATATAAGGGAGATGGGATCTCCTGTGTCTGCATCCCTCTTCAGATATTGAAATATTTTGAAAGGAAACCATTTACAACAGCACATGATTGAATGTTATTAAAGAAGGTATTTATCCATCTTCTAATCGATGGTCCAAAGTTAAAGAATAGAAGAACTTTTTGAACGAAATGCCAGTCAACAGAATCGAATGCCTTTTCAAAGTCAATAAGAAGTAGAATTCGTGGTATATTCATATATTCAGTATAGTCATATATTAGGTGAGTACACTCACCAATATATCTTTTTGACATAAACCCTTTTTGATCCTCATTTATTATAGAGGGTAGGACTGTTTTTAGTCTGTTTGCAATGGTTGATGATCCGATTTTATACGCTACATTCAGCAATGAAATAGGTCTCCAATTCTGAAGCAAATGTTTGGATTTACCTTTTTGGGGAAAACAGGTTATAATGCCTTGCTTTTGAGTCAAAGACAATTCTCCTTTCTCGTAAGCTAAATGTAATGATCTTATAAGATACTCGTGAATATTGGACCAACAAATTTTGAAGAATTCAACAGTGAAACCCGATGAGCCAGGACTTCTTTCATTTTCATTTTTTTTAAAACTGTTTAATATTTCCTCATATCTTAATTGTCCCTTCTAGATTTTCTTTGTTGATATTTTTTTTATAGCTTTGGGACGTCTATGTTTTAAGCAATTCCTGTTAGGTTCACTTTTTTCGCATGGTTTTCGTGTATAGGTTATGGTAAAACGATTTAGTTTCAGTTATAAGTTCTTCTTTTTTGGTTAGGGTTTCCTTTGATTGTTTTCAAGTTTATATATTGCTTTGTTTAAAAGTTTCGATTTTCTAGAGAGAAAAATATTTTGTTTTCTCCTTCTTCTTTCGATTTAGCTTTAGATCGTAGTTGTATCCCTTCTGATTCTTTTTTTATTAATAGTCTCTAATTCTCTATTATCTTCTTTTAATTCATCCTGTAGCTTTGTTTTGGAATCTGTATCATGTGATGAATCTTTTTATTTCAAGCTGATCTATGTTTTTCAAGCGTTTACGTATATTCAAATTTTCTTTGTTTTTATAGGATGAATAATTTATTGTGTGTCCTCTGATCATTAACAAAAGTGTTTCAAAGAATAGCTTGATCGTTTACTTTTGAAGACATATTTCCCTGTTTCGTCTACGTAAGATTTGTATTGTTCTTTGATTTCATTTATCAGTATTTTGGTTTTTGCATATGTTTTTCATAGAGTAAAGAATAGTTGAATTTCCAGTAGCTTTTGCCTCTTTCTATCTCACTGATCTTTAGATAAATCCAAATTATTGAATGGTCAGACCTGTATGCTGCCCCAATGCCGGTATCGTGAATTAAACTTTCGAGGTTTTTGGAAACGATAAAGTAGTCTAGTCTTGCCTGTTTGACGGGAGTTTTCTGTCTCCATGTGTATCTCTTGCTATCTAGGTTTTGTTCTCTCCATGGGTCTATTAGATCATTTTCTTCCATAAATTCTAACCAGGTTTCTCTAGCTTTTGCATTATTAACGTTTTCATAGTTGAAATAATCCATTTTAGGATTTGTACAAAGTTCCAAATCACATATGGAGAAGCGCTGTCGGATTGTAACCTCATGATAATTGAGGATGATTTCTATGGTAAAATTCTGGCGCATCGGTGTTTGGTCCGTATATTGTTACTAAAGTAATTGTCTTATCCATAATTTGCAGTTTTAGTGCTTTACATAGTTTCCATTTACTTCATATCTCAATGGTCCTCAATGAGTAAAATCCAAGTTATCATTAAAAAGTATTGTTGTTGTTAACTGCTTTCGTCATTCCAGTAAAGTGACAAAACCGTTTAAAAATCCAATCTAAAATGGCAAAAGGAAGAGTGTATGTGACCAATCAATTTTGACAATGTTTGAGTGCATTTGCCATTCCTGTGAAGTGTAAGAATTACGTTTTGAAAACCCAGCCTTAAATGGCAAAAAGGAGACTGTATGGTGACCAAACAATGTAGACGATTTGTTGAGTGTTTTTGTCATTCCAGTGAAGTGTAAATAACGTTTTAAAATATCACTCCAGTTCACCAACCGAAGTATTCTGACAGAAATGAACACAAGAAGGTCACTGAAGTCCAAGGGTGTGACTTCGGTCCAGTAGAAGTTTGGATAAATTACAGGTTCTATTTTGAAAATGAAAGACGAGAGGAGGAGATATATAGAAAACTTCCAACACGACGATGAGGAAACAACATGCTTGTCATTACATTCAAAGACTCCTGCATGTATAAAGTTCTTGGTTTGATAATTTTAATGTCAGCAATGCATGTACATGTATTTTGTAAGTATCGTGTCTATAATTTATAGTTGCGTCCCTAGGGCGTTACTACATATATATGATGGTACTCAATGTCCGTTTTGTTTATGCCATATGCCATGACAAGCGCTCAAAGCCAAACTATTCAGCCGATTTTAAGTGCATTTCCAGATCATTCTGAGTGATGTCTCCTTCCTGTTAAGATTAAGGTGAGGTGAGGTGAAATTGGTTTTACGGGTCGGTGTTTGAGAATATTTCGCTCATATGACGACGTTGCATGTGTAGTATAGAATATTGTAGGTGCGGCTGTGGTCACCGTTCAAGCAGCTCTGAAATTAGATATGTAGAATGCCATCTTGGTTTCCAATATGTTTATTTACAAATGCCCATTAATTTAAGCAGCGAAGTGTTTTGCCGTTTATTTGTCGTCGGATTCACATGGTGATAATTCTGCTTGTCTCAAACACTTTCTGTGATTATCGAGAAAGACCTTCCTTGATAGTATTATGGTTAATCATTGAGTAGGATTTGGTGGTAAATATGCTGTGACCCAGCACAGCATATCCCTCGTTAAGATTTCGGTAATAAAGTATT